TAATAAATGTAAGAAATAAAACCAACAAATTGAACAGACTGCATAAAACCATGTACAACTAAAGCACAAACACTGCAGAAGCCATATTCATTAGACGGAATTAGCAGACGTGACGCGACCACGCGGGCTAGCTGCAGCTGACAAACTGTCAATCACGGCTGTCACTCAAGTGACCACTCCCTTAATTATGCAAAAGAAAAAATCATTAATATAAACCAAACGAAAAAGTTATAAAAAAAATTCACCCCCCTCAGAGTTGTCATGAAGGGTAACGCTAGCTATATGCACTAAAACCATCAAATGTACCAGGCTTTAAACATGTTTTTATCAGCTGTAAAAAAGGCCAATTTCCCATTGCAGTCAGAAATGACCTGCACTTCCTGGAGCCAGCCCCCCAAGGCGAGTCGATGAATTGCAGTTTTAGTTACTTCCGTATTGGCTTCACGAGGGAGAGCGGGATGTTGCCGCTTGGTCTCAATGCTGGTCTTAGTGTTGCTCCTGACCATCATTGAGACCAGCAAGACCAACATTGAGACCAGCAAAACCAGCAACATGTCTTACCAGCATATGATTTTTTAGCAGGGCTTTATCTATTAATCCACTTGTTGTTTTACTTATTGAGAGTTTTGCATTAATACCTGTTTAACTGTAGTAACATATATTGGATGTAGAATGAAACTATGATTCAGTGACATGTTATACATCTTCCTATGCAAAATGAGTGTAGATTTTATCGCCACAGAATGAATTGATACAATACATTAAATTGTTTTGTGATATCTACAGAGGTAACTGAATGTCTTATTTTGAGATTGTTTGTGACGTGTCGCTTTAAGGTTGCAGAAAATGACAAACAGTTTTACTACAGTAGTTGCCAGTCCTTTTATTTTAATTGGCGTTGGCATAAGCAAATTACTTTCACGTATACAAAAATAAACAGAGAATAAAGCAATAAATCAATGTCTTACAAACAGTTTCTCAGTACTAAATGTAATATTGTGCAAGCTTACCGTTCTCATCCGTTCACACCGTCAAGAAGTTTGCTTGACCTGATGCTGCCTCTTCTCCATCACCTGTTAGTAATCAGGATATTAAATGTACAAAATAGCATTACGCCCTCCAGTGCTTACAAAAAGAATTACAAGCAAAAATAAATAAATAAGAACAAATTTATTACGACTCTAACAAGATAAGTGCAAAAATTCTTACGTTTTTTACACCGTTTTAAAGGGTGTAAAAAACCCTTTAAGGGTTAAACCCTAGTAATTGGCCTTTTAAACCCTAATAATTGACCTTACTGTAAAATGGTTGGGTTATACCATATTTGGAAAAGGTAATGAGTATTAATGAGCTCTAACCTTCATGCATAGTATTAGGTACTCAAATATACACATGCAAATGTACACTTACGGCCACTTTATTAGGTATTATTTGAGTACAGTGAACTTATTGTCGTGTTCAAGAAACCAGTCTGAGATGATTCAAGCTTTACGACAGGATGTGTTATCCTGTAGCCATCAGAAGATGGGTACACTGTAGTCATAAAGGGACATGGTCAGCAACAATACTCAGGTAGGCTGTGGTGTTGACACGATGCTTAATTGGTATTAATAGGTCCAAAGTGTGCCAAGAAAATATCCTGAACACACTATTACACCACCATCACCAGCAGCCTAAACCATTGATAAAAGGCAGGATGGATCCATGCTTCTTATGTTGTTGATGCCATATTCTGACCCTACTATCCGAATATCGCAGCAGAAATCGAGACAAATTCAGACCAGGCAATGTTTTTCCAGTCTTCTATTGTACAATTTTGGCATTAACAAGCAGTCGAACAGGTGTACCTAATAAAGTGGCCAGTGAGTGTATACTTCACTTTGTACTTAACACTATTTAAAGTTTATTGGTACTTTCACTCCAGAAAAATCACAGTAAAATCTGATGTGACACGATGCATGAATGTGCATTAAACACTTACGTTCAGAAGTCTACATGTGTTAATTGTGTCATTATAAACAAATGCGGCAATCAACAATATACAGGGTAAATTAACAAAAGGCACGTTTAAACAAACCTTATGCCTATAATCTGTATATCCCGCATTTTGCATTCTCCATAGTCTTTTTTTTTTTTTTTTTTTTTTATTCAAACAAACTTTTATTTAGAAAAGAAGAAATTTACAATATAAATCAGGAAGTAATTTGTACAAGACTGGAATACAAGAATACAAGAATATACAATTGCAAAGTAATAAGAACAATAACTAAAAAGAAAGGAGTAATAGAAAGAGAATAAAAAAGAGAACGAAATGAGGAAGGGGGAAGTACAAAATTAAATAAAATAAAAAAATACAGAAAGCATTAATTACTTACACACTGGAAGCATATTTTCATAAGATTCTATTAACTTGCAGAATTTCTTGTTGTTAGATAGCATTCTCCATAGTCAAGCATAGCTGCCTGCTTCACAAAACTGCTCCTTCCTAATAACTTGTTTTCAAAATAAGAGTCCCACATACATGGCAAGTATAAAACAATCTTCATTCTTGTCGGCTTAGTCCCTTTATTAATCTGGGGTCGCCTCAGCGGAATGAACCGCCAACTTATCCAGCAAGTTTTTACACAGCGGATGACCTTCCAGCCGCAACCCATCTCTGGGAAACATCCACACACATTCACACACACTCACTCATACACTACGGACAATTTAGCCTACCCAATTCACCTGTACCACATGTCTTTGGACTGTGGGGTAAACCAGAGCACCTGGAGGAAACCCACGCGAAGGCAGGGAGAACATGCAAACTCCACACAGAAACACCAACTGAGCCAAGGTTCAAATCAGTGACCCAGCGACTTTCTTGCTGTGAGGCGCCACTGCCTTGCCTAAAACAAGCTTACATAAGCTTAAAAATAAGGGAAACTGATCATTGTTGTATTCTCACAAGGAAGCGTGGCATATTAATGATGCTGCGGGGATCCTCACAGTCTGTGTTCTGTTCTGATTGGCCTGTTTTCACTGGGATTTTACCCTCAAAGGATTTACATGAGAATGAGGAAAAAAATGCTGTCTCATTTCCCTGTACAGAGCTCATATTATTCAGCTACATGTAGGTGTATCCAGATTTTCATTCTATGCAAACTTTACATTTCTTTTTAAATTGTATCTGATACATATTGTATTTCAGAGCTTTGATTTAATGTAACACCAAATTTGGGTTCAGCCTTTCCCTAGTTCGATAACGAACATTATGTTTTGCATCCGACCCAAAATAAAGGAAACTTCCTTTCATATTTAAAGTGATCTTTGGACTAGTTTTATGCCCGCACAACACGCGCATAAAAAATTATAAGCCTTTTTAATTAGTGAGGAAAAGGTAAAAGTCCCCACTAGTGGTTCATTTTGATATTACACTATGTATGTGAGGCATGGAAACTGGCCACACACACAAACACACATTTCTGTGTAAGGTGTTCCTGTACAACCTTGATCTAAACCTGCAGGTAAACAAACACTGGTGCCTGCATAAATAGACCTCTGATTACATTCACTATGGTTCCTGTATCCATGGCTGTCAATTGAAACCCAGTGCTAATCTTTAGAGTAACCCAGGCTTTGTTAGCATTTTGCATATAATTAGGCTATATTTAAATGTAAATTCATAAACATTATAGGGGTGGTCCGCTACGATATCATATTTTTAACTTTAGTTGATGTGTAACGTAGCTGTGTGAACATAAACAACATGGCTGAATGTAATGCACTCAAAGTTATATGCAAAGGGAGACATTAGCTTCTACAAAGTTAGCTTGGCAAAGCCTACAGTAAACGAATTTGGGGTATACAAAAAAATACATTGGGGCCTGTGAGATCATAAATGCTTCAGGTTAGGCACATTCACCATGCGCACACACCCTGCGCAGTGAAAGGGTGTGGCCAGAGGCGCTGAAATGTTGTAGCAAAGAAAGCTAAAATGGCGTCCAAACGTTGCTATTTCCGCAGAGCTTCTTCTGTTTTTGTATTTAAGCTTCCAAAGGACATGACACAAAGAGAGAAGTGCTTACAGTTTAATTTTAATGATGTTCCAGAGAATTATATAAAATATATAGCTAGCATTTGACAAAGGAGAATCTATCCAGAATCTCTCTCAGTTCCGTGCTGGATTCGGCGAAAAATTCCTCCAAGAGACGAAGCTGTGGATTGTGAGCCACAACCTGCAAGTGTTTTTATTTTGTTAAAATTGATCAATTTTATGATCACGGTTTCTAGCAATAATGGTATGTTGTAGCAAGGACGTAACCAAGGATGTAAACAACAGGAAATGCTGTTTGGCACCGCTAACAATTTAGCTACAAATTCATATTCATCAGTCAAACCGCTGTAAACACCCACAATCCTCACCAGCGCTGCAGTGTCTTTCTATGCGGACGCTTTTCCTGCGTTTTACATCTCAAATAACAAACTCGCAAAAGACATGTGAACGTTTCATATTACTACCACATGCTTATAACCTGAGTATATGTGAAGAACACTTGTCAGATTTTATTTTAGAGAGCAGGAGTGAGTTTCAGCTGTGTGCTTTTCATTTTTCAGGCAGCTAACTCTGCTAACTGCTTTTCTGTTTACACAGCACTAAAGTGCGTGCTTGTAGGGGCATGACGTAGAGCTGATCCAAAAAATCACAGCACATTATGCTAGCTGGCCAATCAGAGCCTCTTGAGGGCGAGTCGTTTTCATATTAGCCAAGTAGCTGTATATAATCAAAGTAAGATATTCATTCATTTATACGCTTTCTTGTCGGCTTAGTACCTTTATTAATCCGGGGTCGCCACAGCGGAATGAACCGCCAACTTATCCAGCAAAGTTTTTTACATAGTGGATGCCCTTCCAGCTGCAACCCATCTCTGGGAAAAAAGTAAGATATATGAAAAAATAATGTGATAAATGAAGCATGGGCACACATTGCTTTGCATCTTAAATACACTCTGGACCAACTCTTTAATATCATCAACAGTTTAATAATAAAAAAAACATAAAAAGAAACATAAATAACAATGGCAGTTTCAAAGATCCATTACATCCGAAGGTGCCAAAACCAAATGCTTCCAGTAAAGAACTTCCTTCTTAACAATAAAAACAGTGTTGCTTGAATATTAATAGAATAAATCATTTCAAGTAACATGTCTTACACATACAACAAACAGAAAGCCACACAAACACACAGAGTCTACTGCAAAAATGTGTAAAACAGTCAATAAGAGCTGGTATTTCAAAAAAGTACACAATTAAAAGAGATAAACAGCCATAAAAAACAACCTGACAGCACTTTCACAGAGACATATTGCTTTATCGCATGTGGTTTTTAAACAAATCTGAACGACAGACTGATAAAATCTATAACAAGGCAACAAAACAAGGCATAAACTAACTGAAGCACAGCTAGTCTAGTGCTGCATGTTTGTGAACAGGAGAGACGGCATTTACAAACATAATAAATTAACCCAAAACTTTGGTACAACACATGAATTAACACCCGTCTGAATACTGCGAAACGCCTTTCGGATTGTTGAATGCACCATCAAACAATACAAAGATGACATGTATAGTATAGTGAAGTCTTAACATGTCCATACAAAAAAAACAAAAATAATACATCTTGAAAAACGTTTGGTGACACATGGCACTGAGGAATCCTTTCTCTACTGATTTCAATACCAACCTGTACAGTAAACAACGGCCAAAGCATTGCGGATGCAGGACCAGAGCCTCCTAAAACAAGGCCACAGATTAACGAGTCCTTTCCTCGTTTGCTTCAGTGTAACGTTCAGAATCAAGAGCTTTTCATAAGAGGCGAGTGTGAGCTTGATCTCGTGCTTCAGGCTACGGTTGCAACTTTATCATAGTCATTAGTGTATTCTTTGTCTGGCGTCTTGGTTTCTTCCTGGTTCTTGTTCCAACAGGACAAAGCAGAAAGGAAAAGGCCAGCTCCTCCCAGCAGCACGAAGCCTCCGCTGAAGTAAAACGCCAGATCGTAGGAGTGCATCCAGTCATAAATCCAGCCTGGAGAGAGAAACACAATGGAAGATAAGGTTACATGCTGTGTCTCTATTCAGAGGTAAACTACCTGGAGATCGGGATATCATTCAGGATGCCGTTCCTGTTTGAATTCACGTCCTGAATTTGAATATTCAGTATATCCAGTTAGGGAATTAAGTAATGGACGCCACCATTTGTCTCAGAAAACAAAATTAATTAGATAAAAATGTAAGGCATGTGTAATAAATTAAATGATGTAGGGGAAAAAGTTGAACACATGAAGGAGGTGTAAAAACACATGGAAAGCCCAGACAGCAGCTGAAATTTCTCAGTATTTCTTTAGCAACCCTCTGCCCTTCCTCATTGTAAATGAATATTTGCGCTCTTCAGAAACCTATTGGCCCGTTTCCACAGAGTGGTACGGTACTGGACGCTTTTATGACCATTTCCATTGTTAAAAAGCGTACCGAACTATACCGTTACCCTTTTTAGGCACCCGTTCAAAAGGGTACCAAACATGAGAAAGAGTAAAAAAAGGTGGGGCTACACGCGCAGCTGAACGCTGATTGGACGAGATTTGTCACGATCTCGTGGAGCTAGACAGAATGAAAACAAAGAAACCGCCATGTTATACTACACAGCTGAAAGATTACACGCAAATTCTATGCGCATATAATAACGAGCCAAGGATGACCCTGGCTAAAACGAACCTTGTCGTTGTCTTGATGAACAGCCACAAAGCCAAGAAGATCAAAATCTGCTGTGTCCTGTTGTTATTTTAAGAGGCCGTCTGAAAGTGTGAGCGGTTTTTCGCTTTCTGCAGGGATCTTGAGATCGCATCTATATTTGATATAACGAACTTCTTGAGCTGATGATAATAACGTGTGTGTGATTATTGAAGTGTCTCCGTCATCTGATATATTCAGAAAGAAAAGGACAAACGCGAGAATGAAGCATGAAAAAAAGAAGCTGACAAAACACAGGAGCAAATTGCTTCAGCAACCTGAATCATGAACAAACTGCCATGTTTATCATCGCCTTTTGGACTATTATGAACTCGGAATGACAGAATTACTCTCTAACAGAGGCTACATGTGCCGGTGAAGATTAGAGACACAGATGAGAGGTTTGGTTCAGGGCTATGTTGCGTGTTGTTTTTGAAGGACTAAATGTATGACTGTGTGTAGTTTATCTGTAATTGGTAACATATCAGAGACTGTAAGGGTCTGTGTTCATATATGTCGCATTTATATATTTATTTTATATAATTGCAGACGTTACACTAGGCCAGGGCTATTCAATTAGTTTGTCATGGGGGCCGGTTCATGAAAAGCATCCCAAACAATGGGCCGGAGAGATATGACTTGCAATATGAGTGATGACACAACAGCATATAAGAGCCCATATGCTGTATTTTTGCTCTTTAAGACACCCAGATTGGCTTTTTCTACATTAAAATGTAAATATATTGTATTTTGATTACATAACATCACTGCATTGTACAATAGGCTTTTTTTTTTTCAAACATTCAAATGTATTTCAGAGCAAAACAAAAGTAGTCTTCTTCATTCAGACACATTCATATGTTGTTTTGAACTGCATAACAATTATGGATGAACGATTATAGATTTTGGTTGTACGATTTTATATAGTCTAAAGAATAATCATGGTTTTACAGTTATCACGTCTAATGTAAATTTAAGCTTTATACAGGGTAAGTGCATAGATATTTAGATTAATTGTTGTTGCCATCTGCGTTCATACATACATAATCATATTAATAATAATTCGTCTAACATATGTTTTGTTTGTTGTAACAGATATTAGCCCCTTTCACACAGTGATACCGGTAAATATATGGAAAATTTCCGAAACGACTTTACAGGTAAATTTAAAAAAAAGCGCTGTTCACACAGGCGAGGGCGTTACGGAATTTTTCCAGAAAAGAGCATTCACACATCCATTCCAAAATACTACATCACGTCACGTCTCACGTCAGCACGTTCTAGACGTGCACGCGCTCTTTCCGGCAATCTTCCTTTTGTGTTCGCACAGCGCAGCATTTGGAACGAATTTAGCGGTATTTTCAAAAAGGGCCTGTTTACACATACACACCTTTCCGGAAAATTGCCGGTAATTTTTCCGGAAAGGTGTGTATGTGTAAAAGGGGCTGTTATCTGCTAAGTGTGCCCGGAAAGACACAAGCGCGTTGCTCCGCTTGTGCGCGCATTTTGTCATATATTCTTACATTAGAAATAACAAACTTGCAAGCAGAAAAGACGTGATATGGGAACAGCCGCTACTATAGTTAATCCAGTGTGTGTGCGTATCAGGCTCGGTGTACATACTTGGAACTTAAACTAGCGCACAGTAGGCAACTTGGTGTAACCCTCGGTACACAAATGTATTATAAGATTTAATCAATGGACCAGATGCTCAGAAGTCTAAATTCCTCCAAAGAGAGAGAAGATACAACAACAGTGAAGGACTCGGACACAGAGGTAAGAATATTAAAAGATTGTATTGTAAAATGTTCACAGAAATATAAAATAAATAAATAAATAAAAATAAATAAATAAAACAAATTCTAGGTTTTTTCACACTTATCTAATGACCTCAATCTTATTTACACTCTCTAATAACACTTCTCTTTCTTCACAGGCTATATCACTAATAAGGTAAGTTAATATTGTTGTTTTTCTGTTTTTCTATTGTTAAGGCTAATATTATATTTTGGTTACTATTATAACAATAATATAATATTAATATGCTAATAACAGTACTATATTAAAGGTTTGCAAGTGTAAGTTAATAATACAATATTAAAATTGTATTATTATTTAACATATAATCAAGATTTCCCTTCTTAAATCAGTTAACCTCTCTCTATAAAGATTCAAAAATTTCAACGAATGAACACTCTAAAGGAACAATGTACAAATAAAATAAAAATGAAAATAAAACATTCACTTAAAACATTTCAAAATGTTCCAAAAGTCCAGTAAAGGTGATAAACTTTCAAAAAGATTCTTTTGCAAAACAACTAGGTTGCAAATTCAGTTCCAGAGATCCAGGATGTTGCACTTGTGAGTGTGTTGTAAATTTACACTCCTACCATGACGCTGAATAGGTTTTACTTTGTATCTTTTCAACAGGTGTATCCAAAGAATCCACTCAATGGGAGGCTCGCCAGTCCAACTCCACAATTAGACACGCACCGATGGAAGTTGAGACAATCCAAATCCAGAAAAGAGTTCAAACTTCAATTAATTCGAATCCAGAGCAGATCACATCCAGCAACTGACGTCAATAGAACATCTCACCGATGAAAAATCAGAAGAAGATGCACAAACGAACAAAACCAAGGAAAAGAAAAAAAAAAAAAACCTGGCCAAGGAAATCATTCAAAATCAAAGCGAAAAAAATAGGAAAACTCCAGGTGGCACTCGTGTGCAGATTTCACTCTCAGAGACAAATCTTGTCTTTTTCTCTCAATCATCTCTGCTTTCCCTTGCGAACACTGAATCACCATAGCAACGGTAAACACAAGCTAACAGACAAGCGAGATTTGTTATTGTTTGGAAAGCTGATCTGCTGCTGTAGTGTAAGGCACGATGATGTCATTCTAAAGCACTATTCCCTTGAATGCGGTATAATACTCTATTATAAATTATTTATATAAGTAAATAATTTTAATGTATATTATTTAATCGAGTATTCTACATATTTCTATTTGCTCTATTGCTGTATACTACCCACTAGTAACCTGGGTTACATTGGCATAACTTTGTTTAATTGCAGCAGTTTCGTTTTGTTCTGTGCAACAGAAATGCGGCTTAGAGAAGCCTTTACGAGTAATGTGAATTAAAGCGCAGTTAATAGTGAACATCCAAATGTGCCACTTGAACGTTTTCGGCAGCCCGCGCCACTCGCTATGGTGACTCACGCTCTGCACAGCCCCTGCAGCTCGTGCTGTATTGAACAGACGCACGTCACTTCATAACTATATCGGTGGTTTTTCGACTGAACTAAATTAATTTGTTTCTGTCTTGGTCACACTATTTGGAGGGCCGAAACAAATTGCCTCGGGGGCCGGGTTCGGCCCGCAGGCCGCCAATTGAATAGCCCTGCACTAGGCTATTTCGCATTGTCATTGTTCTGCAGTTATAATCAAATCATGTTCATAGAAAAGTTAGCAATAAAAATTTATAAACAAGTATTTATGTGTATAAAGCATCTGTTTTGTGAGAAGTGCTTCTCATATGATATTTGAACTACCTGTACAACTTTACTGTAGACATTTATTAGAGGGATAATGACACTGACTTAAACTTTCTGTTGTACACCACGCCCACCAAATGGGTACCCTTGGTAGTGGAAACGCAAGCCTGATTAAGGTGACCCGTACACAAACACAAACCGACACAAACCGACACAAACCGTACCGTACAGCACCACTCAGTGGAAACAAGCCATATGGGTGATGTTACGAATACTAAGTCTAAAGCTTTACAGTCCATGCTGTGAACGCCCTGGTGGAATAAACATTTTTCGGATGCAATGACTTATTTTACAAGTGGCTAGGACAGCCAATCGTAATGTTCGGACCGAACGTTTTGATTGGACAAACATTTTTTGGTGCTACACCTTCCACAGAATATTAAAAACACGTACATTTGAATTATTTAATTTAATGACGGGAGGAGAAATTCAACCAGCATAACAATTTGTTTTAGGAGACAATCTTACCTGCGACTGGCGGTCCGAGCATTATACTAAATCCACCAAAGAACATCAAGATGCCGTACGCCTCAGTCAGTCGATCCATCCCCACAACCTTAGTGGTCATATAAGGAATAACAGACCAGTTCCCAGAGAAAAAGCCCAGCACTGCGGAGATGACCTGCAGCCCAGCGTAGTTCTTGGTGACAGGGATGATGAGCAGAGCCACCCCTGTACCCAGCAGGGTGACCGCGTACAAATAAATACTGTTCATCCAGCGAACGTCCATCATGACGCCCAGCAGCAGCTTTCCAACTCCAGCAGCGATGGACATGATGGAGACCAGAGGGATGGTGCTGATCCCAGTGATGAGACCCTCGCTTTGAGCCAAATCCTCTAGAAACAGGAGCGGAGTGTACGCTCCCAAACAATACGCGAATAAAGACACGCAAGTGGCCAAGAAGACTCGGTTCTGAAGCACTTGGCCAATGGAGTGCAAGTATTCAGAGTATTGCTTCTGCTTCTTCTTCATGAGCCGCACCAGCGTCACGTAATTGAGGAGTTTTCTCTTTTCGTGCGTGTCTTTGGTGTCTCCTGTGATGAGGACGATGGATTGGGTTTTTTTGACGGGGTCTTCCACCACAGGAGATTTTTCCAGAACGTTCTCCTCGGCTTTCTCGGCCATCGCCGCTCGTTGTTTTAGGTAGTAGGCCGGCAGGTGCAGCGGGCGCATGAGTCCGGCGCAGGCGATGATGTTTAGTGCAAAACAGCCAATCAGTAAAAGGCAGCCGTCGAGTCCGAAGAGTGCAATGAATTCGTTCTGCGCAGCAGCGTAAAGAAAACCTCCCACGCTTGTACCTGAAAACATGAGATAAAGGGGAACGAGTGTTATAATGGGATTGAACTGTTTTATTGAACTTTTATTGGTTTTTATTAGTGATGGGTCACTCTTGAACGATTTGTTCATTTTAAACGAATCTTCAATATGACTCGGGAACTACGAGTCCTCTCAGGAAGTGACTCGTTCATCCACGCGTGCGCACATTTGTGCAGGTGGTATCAATCATTATAAGTCTTTTGAGCCATTCTTCTCGGAAAGGCAGAGGCCAGTCATATGCTTTAGAGCCGAAAAAAGAATTGATCCGTTCATCTCTCGAGTCCTCTATCGGGTCTGAGTCATTCGTTCACCACGGGCCAATCATATGCGTTTAGAGCCGGAAAGAGATTTGATCCGTTCACGTCTCGAGTCTTCGGGTTTGAGTCATTCTGTCAAGTGATGAACGAACGACTCAAGAACCAGAAGACTCGAAAGGTGAATTAATTATCATGGCTCCTATCGGCTCAGACTGTGTACATTGGTTAGGATTATATGTGACTGTCAGTGTAACGTGAACAAACCACTGACATTTGAAGACATGAAGAGGTGAGCTGAGCAGAGACAAAAATGCCTTCATAGACAAAAGAGCAGGTCAACATTGAATTATTATTTTCTCCTTCTTATAGTATTCTATTTATGACGTATTTGTCGTGTGATCGACCTTTTGGGCTAGTTGGAGTTGTGTTTGGAAGCAATTCGCAGCATTTTAATAATAATTTGGCAAATTGAACTAAATGAACGAAATGACTCGAAAAAAAGATTTGTTCATCTTGATGAACGAAACTCAAAGATCCGAGTCAGTAAAATGATCCGAACTTCCCATCACTAGTTTTTATTGTAATTTTATTAGCAATTTGTGATGTGCTTTATTGAGAATAATAAATCATAAATATATTAAAGCTGAGTAACTTTAATGTGCATTTAGACTTATGTTTAGCGTGCTGACGTATTGCACTATATAATAATACAGGGATTTTCTGTGGGCCTCAGCGATCCTGCAGGTGGGCCGCAAGATAAAGCTTAAAATGAACTCAAATATTATACAATAATTTTGGGATTTCAATATTAATACGCTACTACAGTATATTAAAATGATCAAAGTCATGAAGTTCTCCAGTTCTCTGATTGATTACTTCAAACTTGGCGTAAAAATAATATATTATTATATATTATAAATTAGATTTTTCAATCGAAAATCAAACAAAAAGTGCTCAGGGGTAGCTTAATTATTGTGTGGGTGCTCTTTGAGAAAGGGATTCATCAGAATAAACAGCAAAAGTAAGTCTTAGGCAATTTGAATTTATTGACATGGCTATTCCTTAAAACTGTGCCTATGCGTTTCAGCAAACACTTATATGTATATATTGAATATTATTTTATATTTTTATAATAACAATAATTATTATTAAATCATTTAGAAATAATTATGCATTTTAAATATTAAGTATTTAAATATTCTTCAGGACGAAGATAACAGAGGTAAGAATCTCTGGTTATTTATAGTGACTTAGGAATAGTCTGATTGGTGAATCATGTGTTAGCGAATGCGGAATCAGCCATGGCCAGTCATAAGCATGTGATTCAATTAACCACATAGCAGTCACAAATGTACAATATGTACATTTAACGCATTATGAACTAATTATATGTAAAAGCAAATTAAATTACAGTAATGAAAGTGGTTCTTTAAATAGTTTTGTACTTGCTTTTGAGCAGATTTGAGTTCACATTTGAGGCTCATGCGAAAAAAAAAGCTTTATTTTTGTCAATACGTTTTTATGTGTGCTTTTTGCTAAAAAGATTATTAAAACTTTTGAGAAACATATATCGTCAAGCATGTCCACACACTCAACTAGTAGTAAATTATATCTGACTGATCATATATTTACCTGTCGTAACAATGCCGAGAGCAAGTCCACGTCTTTTGTCAAAATACTGGCAAGTGATGGTTACAGTAGCAGCATAAACAAGTCCACAGCCAAGTCCTGCGGAATAAAACAAAATTGAAGATGTTATATAAAAGGTTTGCCTGCTTATATAATTTTTATTAAAATCTTATATTCAAATACAGTATAATGAACAGATTTAGGTGGAGGCTTGAGAACAAGACTACACTGCAGGAGAAACTGCAGAATATGTAATAATACATTTATAGGTACTAAAGTGTTGTCACGATACTGGAATACGATACCAATTAGTACTGAAATTTGAAAAATGTCCATTTCCCACTTACATTTGAGCGCTGTTGAGTGAGTTCTTAAACACTGCTGATTTTCCATTGTGTTCACGTGCTCAACACAAATCAGCAATTCACCAAACTCACAGCTGCTTACTGATTGTAAACACAGATAGAGGAACACTGGAGTGTTTAAAGCTGTGAAGATCAATTGATTCATCAGCGGGTCGCTCATATGTCAGCTTAAAAACAGACCAGCTGATCTTCACGGCTTTAAAACACTCCAATGTCCCTGTATCTGTAATTCCTTGGTAAACAGCGGTTGGCCTTCACAGCCAATTACAGTCATTTCTGTTAAGCACGTGAACACAATGGAAAATAAGCAGTGTTTAAGAACATGCTCAACAGTGCTCAAATATTAGCAGGAAATGGAGGTTTTTAAAATTTCAGTATCGATTAGTATCGAATTCCAGTATTGTGACACTAAACACTAAAATGCAAAGTTCGGAACAATTTTTTTGTTTTAGGAAGTCATATGCTTATTGAAGCTACATTTATGAGTTTGTTTGATCATACAATTAAAATACACTAAGAATTATGTATTGAGTAGTGGCAGATGAATATTAAAATCCACAAGAACCGAAAGCTGAAGCTGTTTTTTTTTTTTTTTTTATAAGGACGCAGGAATATTAAACGGAATATTAAAACAGTGGGCGTGGCTTGTTTTTTCTGCTGCGAGTTGATTGGATGTAGTAAAGTAGACATTTCATTCAGAAAGATTGGGAAATGGGTTTTAGAATTCAATTCAATTCAATTCAGCTTTATTTGTATAGCGCTTTTACAATGTAGATTGTGTCAAAGCAGCTTCACATAAATGGTCAAGTGTTGTTATCACAACATAACAGACACCCTCTTCTCACCATTTCTGTTTGTTGTCAAAACTGACAGTTGGCGGGGCGTGGTTAAGTATGTTAGCCACGCCCAAAACCTCAGACAGACGTAATCTGAGAATTTAACTGAAAACAAACAGGAAGTGAAAAAGTAAAAAAAAATTGGTGGTAAGTAGGGTTGGGCAATGTCGATTAATTTGGCATCGTACAATGTCTAATGAGAAACATCACGATGGACGATGACAGTGAATTGATTATTTATAAATATTTTATTAATTCAAAACAAATTAAATATTTGTAGCCTACCATTTCCATTTCAAGTACCTGACCCGCATGGTCTATGTTTTACCCATAACCACATCAAAAATAAGTAAAGATGTAAAAGTTGTACACAAACTACCACCTGTCATTCACTTTCCCCGCAGGACTCTGGCATGAATAGGCAGAGCAATCTGTGTCGTTATAATGGCGTCAACAAAAAAGTAAAAGGTGCACAACCAATCGGAACCAACCAACAGTATCTGAGGTTTTCGCTAAAATTACTAAGCATAAGCGAGAAAGCGAACGATTGAAGCAGTGTACTGACGCTGTGACACGTTACCTGATAGAGTCAAAAGACCGAAGAGTCATGAGATAGAGACAAGATGAATTAAATATCACGTTTCACACTTGAGTCAGACGCGATCCAGCGGTACACCCCATAAACTGTCCGACGTGCACTGCTCTCTGCAGTAATCTTCCTTGATTATTACACCTGAGTTAAAGCTATTAGCCATGTCTGCCTAGAAGATATTCAGTGGAATTTCATTTTCCATTAGTCTTAGTACACGATTTAACTACAGAAGAGTCAAACTTGATATAGGACTTTTTGAGCAAGATGCTAATGGTCTAATTTGATTAAATTATCTATGCAAAGCTAAGCTAAAAGTGCTCCTGCCAGACCTGGAGATCGACTAAATGGATTCAAAAATTGTAAAACTCAACTGTTGAACTCTAGAGACTTGCAAAATGAGCCTAATTTCAAATAAAGTGGAGTGTTGCTTTAAATGTCCACAATCATTCAAAACTGTACAGTTTTGTCAAGTTTTTAGAGCAGTGTTTCTTAACCATTTACCTGGAGGACCACCAACACTGCCTGTTTTGGATATCGCCTTTGTCACACTTATTACAGGTCTTTCAGTCTTTGCTAATGAGCTGATGATGTAAATCAGGTGTGTTTGGTTAAGGAGACTGGTGCGGAAAATGGGCAGAGTTGGTTGTCCTTCAGGTATGTGGTTGAGTAACACTGATTTAGGTTATCAAAATGCAGCATTGGTTAGCATAAGAGACTTTATAAATGTAAAAACATTCATAAAAATCTTAATAGCTCCAAACATTTTACTGGGACTATATATTTTGGTGTAACCCTGTCCATCGGCCATAGAAGAAAAGTGGGATAGACAACTGTGGGATACTCACCAACAACAATACCATAGGAGAATATGAGAAACTGAACATTGGGTGCAAAAGCGCTAAGCATCAGCCCTCCGGACACCATGACCCCGCTGAAGATGGTCACAGGACGAGCCCCGAAATTCACAACACATGCACTGCAGATGGGACCTGCAAAAAAACATTGTCTTATTAGAGAATGGGAACAGTGACAACTTTAAGCTGCTTAAAGTGATAGTTCACTCAAAAAATGCATTTCTGTCCTCATTTACTCACTTTCAATTTGCTTTTTCTTCTGTTGAACACAATGGGAAAATATATTAAAGGATTTTGGGGAAAAAAGTAGCCATTGACTTCCATAGTGTGTTTTGCTCCTATTATCAAAGTCCCTATTTCAATTGGCGGCCATATTTGAAACGCCTCTCAGGCAGCTCCTATCTCTTTGAATGGGAAAACATCAAATTTACCAAAACGGTTTGCTAAGCTTATGATTACATTTTTTTTATATTTGGAATTAACAATAAAATTTAACAAGAACTCACTAAAAAATTGTGTTATTAAATGTTCAAATCATGGCCAAAAAACAACATTGTTTAGGTTGCCTAAACTAATGTGCATGCACAGTCAAACTGGGGTGCGCTTCCAAAAACCATCGTTAGCCAGCTGAGGTCGCAAGTTCTGTCGTTACAAATATAGTTTGTTGATTTGATGTTTCCTAAATCCGACGTTCCAAAGAACATTCGCAAACTGAGTCGCAAACTTACAACTACACCTCTGGAGCTGTAGTTAGAAATATAGTTCCTGGCTGTGTTCTATTTCCATTTATCACCCTATGCCCTATTCATTTGGAACATTCTAACATTTAAATTTGGAATGATTAAAAAAAACAAAACATTTAAGTCATCACTGTAATTTGCTTTCAATGTATTTTTACAGTTAGTTTTAGCGATCTTTATGTTCACAATTGCGCTCCCTTCACAGTGCACTTTGAAAACATTGATGTCATTTCGAACACAGCCGGAATTTATGTTACGTCTCCAAAGCTAGTATATTTTTAATAGTCATCGCTCCAAAGCTTGTAAAAACAAAAAACATAGCATACGCATATTTTGAAGGTGTTCATTGCATATTTAAAAAAAGTATTTTTACAGTTTATTTCCAGCAGCTGTAGTGCTGAAAAAAAACAAACCTAAAATACCGGCCGTTAAATAACAGAAATTTACTGTAAAATAAGAGAGGTTGAATTACAGAAATTTGCCAGAAATATAAATTTAAGGAGATTTCGGTAATATAATGTTCGTTATTTATTATTATTATTATTATTATTAAAGTGTTTTTTTTTCATTTCCAAATAAATAAAAAATATTACATTTCATTTCTTAATATATCGCCTCATTATTTATTTATATGATTAATATATGATATTAGAATACGTGTTAGCTTTTGTAAGTCATTTATGTTTTAGAATAGGATATAGGATATTCTCAATAACATTTGTAAAGAAAACAGGCTCTGTATGAGCCATTTACATATATTTCAATTAATAAGGAAAATGAGTGCATGTTTTTATCAAATCTAGTATTGGATATTTTTTAAATATGCGTGTAAAACAATATAATTTGCAAAAGAAATTATGGAGTTCTTTCCTAAGAAGTTGTTGCCACCCCGTTTAGAGCATCATTATGGGCGTTTTACATTATATTGTGGTTAAAACGATGGATCTGCTACAGAGAAACTACAGGTTTGGGGAAACACTCTTCACTACATCGTTGTTTCTCAAACTATGCATCGTAAACTATGATAGTTTAGCCGTGAGTTACGTTATTGTTTGGGAAACGCACCCCTGAATGAGATCACAACACAATCACCTTTATGGCTGTTTCCGAAGGACAAGATAAGATGTCATTCTGTCAATCAAACTATGTAACTAGCATGATGCTAGGTTCACTTTAAATACAAATTCAAAGATCCAGTAAAGAAGAAGAATAAAGTATGACCGTAGACAACCCATTAGATCATGTCATTCGCCAGTTAAAAAAAACTTTATAGTACTTTATAATGCTACAATTGCAAAACTGTACTACATCTAGCACGTTTTTAGTTGTGTAGCAAGCAAAACTTATCATAATGTGCAATTTCATGCATGCGAGGATCACTGGTCTCACTCTAACATACTTTGTCCTGAAGCGACTACTGTATGCTTAGGGGTTGGTCGGTTGTGTGCAGGAATTACACTTACTGCTAAACCACATTTACATGCTATTTCAGACCGAATATTTAAAGTAGCATGATAAACAATCTACAGTAAAGAGCACGTCACAGGTTGTCACTGTTCAAAAAATTAACCAATATGATGTGATTGGCTACTTTACGAGAAGGCTAGTTGTCCATAATGACCCTTACATTCAAAACTATACGATTGAAATATTTAGTGTTTTCCATAGTGTTTGCTACAATGGATGTCAATGGCTTATTTTCCAACAGTCTTCAAAATATCATGTTTTGTGTTCTGAAGAAGAAAGAAATTTAAGAAATTCCATAAAGAGCCACTTTAGTGTGAGTTACCGATGAGAAAATATTTATTTATGGGTGAATTATTCCTTTAAGTGGAGTAATTTAACTAGACAGATCATCAAAAGCAGACTCTGATTGACTCTTGAAAGCAAAGTATGTGACGTCAAATGGCCCACTGACACAAACAGAAAATCATTAAACAATTGTGGTCCGATTGATTTGACATGCTACTCTTTATTTTAAAATGGTAAACACGTTTCATAACGGAAAAAAACAAGGCCAAGGCCTATAACAAAAGGAGCTTGTTTTTCATTTTAAAATATAAATTAATAATAATAATACAATTTATAATAATAATAATAATAATAATATTAATACTAATAATAATAAATTAACAATAATAACGATAACAAACAATAATTGGACAAGATTTATAGTTTTATGTTTATTTATGATCATATGAAGTTGTAAATCATGGTCTTTATATTCAATGAGGTTAATTGCATATGTGATTTACAATAACCATGATATATTTACAGCGGGTAGTAAATGATTATATGCAATTTGGATGCTTTAATCAGTAGTTTTTATTATTAATGTGGATTAGTTTTAGTAGCACGTTATTTTAAGCTGTTCTTGTAACATATGTAAATGCATTTACTGTAGTTATTACAATTAATTATACATAATTACATACAACAACTAACCCACAACCTAACCAAACACTAAGTATATGTAATTAATTAATATAATGCAGTGGTTAAATGAATAACAAAGACACCATAAAATAAAATGTAACCTTAGTTTTCACTTATTTATTTTTCTGTTTTGTATTTTACATGTCATTATGTTGTTTGTTTTTGTAATTTTTTATACATTTTTTATTAATGTCTATGTGTTTCTAAGTTATTACCTTTAGTTTTAGTTAATTTAGTGCTAAATTTAACTAAAAATTTTTTTTTTTTGCAAACAAGAAAAAATGTAAAGACGTTTTTTGTTAATATTTATATAATTTATGTATACCTTAATTTAATTTGTTTTTTATTTCTATTGAAAAAAAACCTATTTGGCAGCCCAATAGCCAAGCCCTATAATTTTAGTATTAGGTAATTACAATGTCCCTGATCAGATTGCAAAATGAAATGCTTTCTTTATTATTAATATTATAATATTTATTAATATTATAATAATGAATTATTTTATTATTGTTAATAAATTACGTTATTACATACATGGTATTACTGTATTACTACATACACTATTTGTAATGTGTTACAAACAACACCTTGTAAGTAATCTGGATGAGAAAAGCGGAGTAGATTTATTACATTCATTAATATAAATGATCTCATATAAACTTACTAGCAATGAGCCCGACCCCGGACACCAGAGAGCCGACCCAAGCTGTCATGCCTTTGCTGTCCTGAAAAGTGTTCAGCCATTCAGGGTACAGAACCCCCACAGACTGGGGCGACCCGTAGGCAAGAAACTGACCCATGAAAGAGGCCACCACGATAGCCCAACCCCATCCGCCATCCGGGGCAGGCTTAGTGTTCAGGCCACTCATGTTCACACTGGGCTCCTGAGCTGAAAAAAACAATTTAAAAGAAACTGTTCAGTAAAACAGGAACTCCCAAACTTTGTAGCTAGTGACCCCCCCCAAAAATAACGATGCCAATGACTCGCGACCCCCACATTCCTCAGAGGTGGTTATACAGGTATATATACAAATGTTGCACACACAACAGGCCTATATAAACATGAGCATATTGACAAAATAAAAAAGTGCAACAGTCTAACAACCATGTCAGCTTTATAGTCATTTATTCATTCATTCATTCATTTTCTTGTCGGCTTTATTATTTATTTATTAATCCGGGGTCGCCACAGCGGAATGAACCGCCAACTTTTCCAGCATGTTTTTACACAGCGGATGCCCTTACAGCCGCAACCCATCTCTGGGAAACATCCACACACACACTCATACACTACGGACAATTTAGCCTACCCAATTCACCTGTACCGCATGTCTTTGGACTATGGGGGAAACCAGAGGACCCGGAGGAAACCCACGCGAAGGCAGAGAGAACATGCAATTTCCACACAGAAACCCCAAATGAGCCGAGGTTCGAACCAGTGACCCAGCGACCTTCTTGCTGTTAGGCAACAGCACTACCTACTGTACTCAAAAATAAAATAAAATAAAATAAATTGACTAATACTTTCCTTCTTAGACTTTACAGACCTGAAACTTGCCTATAGCACTTATTCATTGTTGCTCTTATAGTTGTGTAAATTGCTTCCTTGTCCTCATTTGTAAGTCGCTTTGGATAAAAGCGTCTGCTAAATGACTAAATGTAAAAAATGTAAATGTGTGGGTGTAGTTATGAATAAAATATGATATTCTGTTAGTTTAATAAAATTGATTTGACTTTTGGAAATCATCAAGCAACCCTGTCATTATCCGCCGACCCCCCAGGAGGCCCTGACCCCCACTTTGGGAACCACTGCAGTAAAACAACGTCCCAAATCCATTTGATTTTATTCATTTTACAGAATGGGACACTTTTATCTCCTTTTTAGTATACAGAAACAGCAAATAAACCATTCAGCAAATATGAATTAATAAAATACAAATGAATAAAAATAAAATTTTAATTAATTCCTATTTTATAGTCTTTCTTTCTACACTCAATAAATGACATTTGCCGTTTGGTAAAACTACTTATTTAAATTGAGCTACACAACACAATTCTAGAGAATTTTTTGGGTCAACTTAATTGTTTATGTTTAATCCACTTAAATTTGTAAAATTTAATATGTTAACTTAACAAATCAATTGTGTGGAACTCAGCATTTTTACACTATACTGCTATGAGGAAAAAATAAGAAACCACTTGAAAATAAATATTAATATTCATTTTATTCTATAAAATATATAAAATTTCTTCAAAAATTTAAATAAAGACATTGTCATTTAGTCATATTGTTTTTATTTTTCCTTAAAATATGCTTGGGGTTTTTTTAATCAGTGTTATTAGACCTATTAATTTCTTAACTTCTCTAAAGTTAAAAATTTTGAATTGTGCTTTTAAAAAATAAACATAAATGCCTGGGAAAAAAACTAAACTAAAAATGAATATATGTGGTCCCACTTTATATTAAGTGTCCTTAACTACTATACACTTACATCAAAATTTAAATACATTGCACATTGCAGAACACTTCTGGTGCTCTTTAGGTGGGATATGGGTATGGTTAGGGACAGGTTTGGTGGTATGGGTAGGTAAGGGTGGGGTAAGGTGTAAGGGATAGTCAAAGTTGTAATTATAAATGTCATTACAGAAATTACAGATGCAATTACAAGCAGGTATTTAATCAAGTATAAGTACAATGCAAAAACATGTATTTACACAATAACCACATTGTAGGAAGTAATAATATTAGTGTAAATACAGACGAGTTAAGGCCACTTAATATTAAGCAGGACCATATAGGTCTATATTATAAGTGACTGAAAGCGAATGGAAGACCATCAGTAGTTTCCAGAACAAAAGAAACATCACGTTTAACGCTTAATTATACAATTTACGCATAACTATGAATTATAAATCCAGATAAATCTGAGAACTTATAAGTTGTCTCTTGTTGTTTTAATATATATCGCATTTCAGCGTCAGCTTACCTCATATTAACTTAATCTCGCCTAAAAAACATCACCGTCAGGATGCGCGGACAGCGCGTAACCAAATCCGGAGACGCGCACGGACGCAAGGCAGCGGAGAGCGCACGCACAGCTGCAACCGTGCGCGCTCCTGGACCAATAAGCACTTCTTAATTTCATTTTCTGCATTTCTGCATTTCTGCATTTATTGTTTTCATATACAACTTCAAAATTCAACCTGTTGTTTTGAATGTTCTCAAGTAAAAAACTAAAATGAAAACAAAAGCACCTCCAAAAATGATGACGTACGTCGCATTTAAAACCTGTTGGAGAAGTTACACATTCAACACAAGACTGAATACTCAATATTAAAACAGCATACCACCTCTATAAGACAATAAACACAATCTCTTACCTCACCAAACGGGAAATGATGATGATTTCCGAGGTAAATTCAGTTCAGGATGTTGAACTGGCTCTCTGGGCAAACCCCGCGTTATGATTTCATATGTAATATCATCGTGTCATAATGCGATATGACCGCTAAGATCTATCAGGATGATTGTGGATGTGCTGGGCTCAAACATCCCGGTCTGTCCTTCATCACTGTGCTTTTTTTCAGCTCGAGCTCCGGCTTTTGTTGCCAGGCGTTTAAACCGGTTTGAAGCTGTTCTCGCTGGTCCAGCTTCACATTTCGATGCTCTAACTTCCTTTCTCATTCACTGACAAAGAACACGGCCTGACTGAAATGTCAATCAACATCGATTGTCTCCCGTGAAGCCTCGAACGATTCATTTTGATCGCAGTTGGGAATTTTAATACTGGTAAAATATTAAAATGAATAGACTCCTCTTTTTGTGTCAGTTAAAAATGATGGGTGGCTTTTCTGTTGCGTAGGAAATGCATGCAGACATGACGTTTTCTTAGTCTGAACGCTTTCATTTAATTCTCGTACTGTAAATTCAATTGTAAACACTTGCCACGTGCAGTCTGTAGATGTGTGTGCGCTGCAGTTCCAGTCCAAACCGGTAAACGATGACAATACAGCAGGGACACGTGTTGCCGGGATCATCTGCCGCCTTTCCCATCTTAAAGGGGCAAGGGTGTTTTATGCACTTATTAACGTGTCGCTGCAGCAAAAAAGGGTAGTCCTCAGACTGACCATCCTAATGTGGTTCCAATCGTTTGTTTCTTCTGTAGAACACAAAAGGAGATATCTTGTAAAATATCCATGCTCCTCCATCTGTAGTCTCAGAAAACACATGGCAGCTGCTTTGGCAATTAAGTGGCTAATTTAGATGAATTTCAACAATCTCTCCTACATTTTCTTTTCTGTTGTGCTGTGGAGGTTAGTTTGGAGGTGTAACCTTACAGATTGCAAAATTCATCATTAACCCTTGTGCACTGTTCAAATTGTCTGCCCTTTTGTTATGAAAACGGAATTAAACTGATGTAAAAGAGTATTGGATATTTTTTTTCTTTATTTTTTTTTTTGCATAAATCTGTTAATCAACCTCAGTCCTGATCAAAACTACTAAATTGTTAAGAAAATTACAGGATTTTTAACTCTAATTGCCAAATTCATAAATTATGTCACTGATTTGGTGAAAAAACACAAAATGACATTTTCATTATGAAAATTAACTGTTGACTGGATTTTAGAACATCTTTTAGCAAAATGTTTAATGTTATAGCTCAATTTTTATTATTTTAACTAACAAATTAAACTGTAAAATGTGTGGCACACATGTTTTTCTTGTATGCAAATGTAATGCCAAAATACCTTACTGGCAATGTTCTAAGATACATAATGCAAATTGCATTTGTTATGATTCTCACACACCGCTCAAAAGACCAAACCATTCCCATGGAATATCCACCTCTGTACTATCAGCTTTGTTTGTAAATATAAACTATAAAATACACATTTAAAACCCTCAATCTTTATCAAAGGAGGCCCTTGAAATTCTGCCAATGGGACAGACATCAGTGTTGTCCTTCTGCTAAATTTCTCACAGCTTCAATCCAAGGTCTTTTTGTTCCAGGGGAATGCCCTGCTATAAAGAATAAAAGGTTCTCACAATACTCTCATTATGTGAAACACCATTAAAGACACGCATAATGAAAGATTATGCTTATATATTTACTTTGAAGAATGTAAAATAATAATAATAATAATTGAGACTTGTGTTTGCGTAATGTTTCATCGACAACCAGTATATCTTCTACAATGCAACCCAACCAACAAAACACAAAGTATTTTTAGAGACAGTTTGCCCAAAATGAAAAATTCTCTCATAATTTATTTACCCTTCACCTTTTCAATTGAACACGAAAGATATTTAAAAAAATATATGTTATATAAAAAAATATGTAACCAACTTGCATAGTAGAAAAAACTAAAGCTATGGTTACAGGTTTCCAACATTCTTCAAAATATTTTCTTTTGTGTTCAACAGAATTTTTTTTTCTAAACTTCCAACTTACAGTACTCTCTTCTGTTAAACAGAAAAGAAGATCTTTTGAAGAATGTTCAAAACAGGTAACCATTGACTTCCGTAGTAATTGTTTTTTTCTATTATGGATGTCTATGGTTACAGCCAGGTTTTTAGCTTTCTTCAAAATATCTTCTTTTCTGTTCATTCATTTTCTTTTCAGCTTAGTCCCTTTAATCAGGGGTCGTATCCAGCATATGTTGTTTACGCAGCGGATACCCTTCCAGCTGCAACCAATCACTGGGAAACACCAATACATTCTCATTCACACACATACATTATGGACAATTTAGCCTACCCAATTCACCTATATCACGTTTTTTTGGACTTGTGGGGGAAACATGAGCACCGGGAGGAAACCCACACAAACACGGTGAGAACAGTATATCTTTTCCAATGCAACTCAACTAATAGAAACACAAAGCATTTCAATTTAAAGAGACTTCATTTTAAACAGTGAAAAATTCTGTCGATTTATTCACCCTTCACCTCTTTTTCAATTGAACACAAAATATATTTTAAAAAATGTTATACAAAAATCTGTAACCATCGACTTCCATAGTAAGAAAAACAAACGCTTTTGTTAAAAGTTTCCAACATTCTTCATAATATCTTCTTTTGTGTTCAACAGAAAAAAAATATATAGATTGTAAATAGACCAAAACCATTTGACCTACTTTTTGTCTTGTTAAACAGAAAATAAGATATTTTAAAGAATGTTCAAAACCGGTAACCATTGACTTCTATAGTAGTTGTTTTTTTCTACTATGGATGTCTATGGGTACAGCCAGGTTTTCAGCTTTCTTCAAAATATCTTCTGCTGCCTTCAAATGGAAAGAAAAGGTTTGCAATCACTTAGAGGTGAGTACATTTTCAGTTTTACGTGAGACATCCCTGCAAATAAAACCCGAAAAGACAGAGATCATCAAGTTCTGATCATCATCAATGTTTTAATAACCAAAAATAACCATGACATAATGTTTCTACTATACAAAAATCACGAAACGCACAGCCTGTACCTGTTTCAAATGGACCAGAAATTATCATCTGCTCGACAAACAAACAAACCACGGAATAGCCGAACCACATTTTAAGGCTTTAATAGTCGGATGTGGGGATAAGCTAGACGACGCTTACATTTAGCAACACTACAGTGAGTTAAGGCTCAAAGGTGTCCTATCGGTTAATGATAGCAGTAAAATTAGCAAACGTTACATTCATTCGTCAACCGAAAAAAAAAACAAAAAGATCTAGTCAGGCCAACAAAATGACTAAAAGGAACGAAAACAAATGCAGAAACACAGAATTAAAAAACAAAGACATGACTATTTACAGTAATACGGTAAACAAGTGAAACGTCAACTTAAATATACGCATCCTCGATTAAATGAACGAAGCTCTAAAGACAAAATCAAACTGATTTAAAGACACACCATGTGCTAATAAGAAGAGCACAGATGTCAAGCTGCAGCAAACACTGTTGTTTTGCATCTATGTACACTTGCAGTGTCCACATGGCCATGGCAACCAATCTTAAACAGCTCACTTAACTACAAACAAGCTGGTTAGTACCAGGAAAAGAATCATTGGTTTGCTTTGATCTGCAGTACATCTGCATGAAATTACTTATTCACAGTATTTAAAAAGCGCTTTCTTCCGTCTACTTGCTTTCAGCTGCACCAACTCTGGGATTTATTTGGTAACTCCTACAAAAACTGATTACAAGCATAAACTAATGGAGGTAACACTTAAAAAGTGACTTCCATATGGTTTTTGCAAAGCATACAACAAGTTATTTACCCAAGCTTGGACTTGCTTCCAAGCACAATTGTTCAAATGCAGAATTTCTGAAGGTAAAATAAAACTATACATATATAATCACAGTGGTATCAGACACTGTTTGTGCAGAGGTGAGTTTATGAGAAGGCAAACGCTCTACAGAAACACACTCAAACCCTGTTCCTGGAGATCTACCTTCCTGCAGATTTCAGCCCAAACACAGCTGAACCAATTAATTAGGACCTGAACAGTGGCTGATAATTACAGGCAGGTGTGTTTGATATGGGTTGGAGCTGAAATCTGAGGGAGGTGGATCTCCAGGAACAGGGTTGGTCCCCCCTGCTCTAGTCTTCCTTAATCTACACTACAGGCGTCAAATCCAGTTCCTGGAGTGCCACAGCTCTGCAGAGTTTGGCTGTAGCCCTAATTAAACACACCTGATCAAACTAATTAAGTCCTTCAGACTTGTTTGAAACCTACAAGTGAGTGGGTTTGATTAGGGTTGGAACTAAACTGTGCAGAGCTGCGGCCCTCCAGGAACTGGATTTGACACCTTTGATGTACACCAGTGGTCATCAAACTTGTTCCTGAAGGGCCGGTGTCCTGCACATTTTAGCTCCAACCCTAATCAAACACACCTGAACAAGCTAATCAAGGTCTTGCTAGGTATACTTGAATTATCCAGGCAGGTGTGTTGAGGCAAGTTGGAGCAAAACCATACAAGGGACACCGGCCCTCCAGGACCGAGATTGGTGACCCCTGATCTACACCTTCAATGTCTTGGAGAACATATATAAAGCTTCTAGAACACATTGGGAAAATTAAAGTGTGGCATTACTATAGCAGCTGCAAAAAGACAGTCATTTAAACAAGTCACTTAATGTGCAGGTCATATTTCAATTCAAAATCAATCTGAATACACTGAAAACATCTGTAAATGAGCAGTTTTCTGTATTTTGTGATTCATAATTTTTATTTTTCTACATTTATTCATGCTTTTGAATTGCATTATGGGATCTTATTCATTCTTCCGACGACTTTTAGCATTGAAAGGTTTGAAAAAGTGACTTTTTTGAACATCTTTAATAGTTTAAAGTGATATATTGTTTGGGTTGGTGTTGTATGTTACAGTAATATACTGTACTGCTACTGCATTTTCTGTTTTTTACATACTTGTTTCCCGATATATTGTTTCAAACTACTGAAATGTAACGTTTTACTAAAAGAGTAAATCTGGAAAGTTTCGGAAATTGTTTCTCAACTTTTTTCATTTACAATTACTAAGACTTTTGAGAGTGAAATATGCCCTAGATCATAGGTCTCAAACTCTATTCCTCGAGGGCCGCAGCTCTGCACGGTTTAGCTTTGACCCTAATCAAACACCGCTGATTCAACTAATTATGGTATTCGAGAACACCTTGATTATTTGGATCAGCTGTGTTTGATTAGGGTTGGAGCAAAACAGAGCTGCAGCCCTCCAAAAATCGAGATTGAGACCTATGCCCTAGACCAGTGTTTCTCAACCATGTTCCTGGAGGACAACCAGCTCTGCACATTTCCATGGCTCTTTAACCAAACACACCTGATTTAGATCATCAGATCATTAGCAGAGACTGAAAGCCATGTAAATGTACAAAGGAGACATCCAAAACATGCAGTGCTGGTAGTCCTGCAGGAGCGTGGTTGAGAAACACTGCCCTAGACATTTCTTTGTGAGATTTAGCATGATTGGCATATTTTACAGCTATGTTTATGAGGCAACTATAAAACACATTTGCTGTATAAGCTGAATTTAGTTTTTATTCTTGTTCTGAGACAAGATATTAATAATATCACCGAAACATATCAAAAAGTAACATTAAAGTTTAATCTATAAATGCTTTGACTGTGATTTTAACTTGTGGCTTTCTATGATGTTTAGTGACTGACACTTTTAAAGTGATTGAACATGAGAAAATATCCAACTATAAAAAAATATTTGATGCACATTATATTCTTGGTAATATTTTTAGTATTTCACAGCAATTTCTAAGAGATTGCTTGGGTGTATATCATTTGACACACACTTAGAGTACGAAGTACCAGCTAAAAGTGTGCTATAGATTCCCTCTGAATGCCTTAAGAGCATCTCAAGCACAAAATATGAAGAGCACAGATGAATGGCTTATGTGTGAGATGGTGAAGATTACAGTGTAGCAGCTCTGTTTCGAGTCTTTTTCTGATGCTGCAATGGTTTAAGGCTGCTGTGGAGCATTGTGGGAGAACACTGGATGTGCGATGGGTGGAGGAGGTGGCGGCGGCTGGACACCAGCTTGTGTGTTGGGGGAAGGTGGCGGCGTAGGCCGCTTGAATTTGTCTGGACTGTTGCTTCGCCTTGGAGAAGGTCTCTGCAAAGGAAAAGACAATTCAGTTAAATAAATAATCTAATTAAAACTTATTTTGTTTATTTAATTTCATGCTCTCTGCAATCATTAAAAGCAATTTACTAAATGTATTTTTTAAATTATTTTCTCATTAATAAATTTATTTGCTTATTTATTTATTTATTTATTTATTTATATATATATATATATATATATATATATATATATGTATATATATATATATATATATATATATATTCTTTTATATACTTATGTATTTATTTACTTATGCACTCATTTATTTACTTAATTTATTTATTCTATTATTTATTTTCTGATCAATTCATTTATTTTTCTTATTAATTTATTAAATTATTTATTCTCTTGTTTATTTATTTACTTATTTACTAATGTATTTATTTATTTATGCACTTATTTACTTTATTTTCTTATTAATTAATTTTCTTATTTATCTATTTTCTTATTAATTTATATACTTATTTATTCTCTTATTTATTATATTTACTAACTATTGTATTTATTTATTTACTTATGCACTTATTTGTTTACTTATTGATTTATTTAGCAATAATTTATTTAATCTCTTATTTTCTGATTAATTCATTTATTTTCTTATAATTTTTTTTCTATTTATCTATTTTCTTATTAATTAATTAATTTATTTACTCAATGTATTTATTTATTTACTTACTAATGTATTTATTTACTTATTTATAAACATTCATTTACTTATTAATTTATTTATTCTCTTATTTATTTTCTGATTAATTTACTTATTCTCTTATTTATTTAATTATTCATTCACTTAATGTATTTATTTATTTATTTAATTATTAATGTATTTATTTACTTGTCCGTTCAATTTTTTTACTAGTTTTCTTTACTTATTACTACTTAAGCAAATAACTAAGTAAATGTAAATTTATTTATATTTTTTTTGCCACAGCTTTACTTGTTAAACTAACATACAAGAATAAAGTAATTTGCAATTTAAATGGTCAGTTGTACAGTCGCTGGTCACACATCTCAACTGCCAAATGATGTTTATTTTCGTGGATACTGGAACACAAGTGATTTTTTATTTATTTATTTTTTTTTACATTAAATGATCACAAATGTAACATTTGGTTGCTAAACTTTTATGAAAACAATTGTATTTGCTCCAATTGATAGATGCTTGATTAGATTTAAATAAAGAAATAAAGATGTTTAAATGCCTAGTTCGCTACACCCCAGTTGTTAATGAATGTTATTTCAATTTGCTTGAGTTATCAATTACATTTAGAGATATTTTCAGATTTTTATCAAATTTTCCTCTGAATAAATGTCAATATTAAAAGGATTTAACAAAATTAAATCTGTTTTTCTCTTAATGCAATTTAATACTAGACATGCTTATGATAAATTCTATCATATTCTGTTGGATTTATCAATTGTATATTTACAACCAAATTAAATGTGTTATGATTTATGCTTTCTTTCTGTCTTTTTTTTCACCCTCCTCTCCGTTTGCTCAGCCCTTAGGTTTCTTATTGGTTTACCATTCTGTCCATCATCATGACATTTTCGGTTCCACGAATCCCAAGACGAGCCGCAAGGATTTAAAGCCCTGACAGACCAGTGTGTGAGGTGCGCTCTGCCTCCGCGTACCATTTGTGCTCCACGCAATTTGTTTGCAATGCTTTGTCTATTCAGTGATTTATTATCTCAGTTTACTGTGGTAATTCAAGTCTGCTGGTTGAACTTCGTTGGCTTTAAGTAACATAATGTGACGGTTGTTGTGTGATTCTAAACTAAGCTTTGACAGACTTATCCGGTTTGTTTTAGTTTAGATTGATGTTTGTTAGATTAGCTTGAGTGTTTTGCCACCTGTGTACTTTGAGTTTTGTAGTTTAATTTAGTTCGGGTGTCGTGTACACTAAATATCTCTGTTTTATTTGTGTTTCTTTTTGACGCCTAGTTTAGACTTTAGATTTAAGGATTGTTTTGTTAACTTCTTTGATTTGGCTTACACTCGTTGTTTTTGTTTTAAGATAATAATTATAAATGTTTATTTCTTTTTCCCCCCCATTTATTATTGTTACATATTGTTTTAACTATTGAGTAAAAAGCTTAAATAAGAGAATTGATTCTTGCCTCATTCTGGATCTGTCGCACAAATTACACCTGTCTCACCTAAAAGTTACAGCATCCCACTTTAACATCTTAAACACGTAACAAATGACTTCACATATTAAATGCAATTTAATGCTAGATATGTTTACTATAAATACTAATACATTCTTGTTTATTTTTTTTACTATAATTACATAGATGTTTATAATTTTACAAGACAGGAATAATTTAAATGTTTTGATATCAACTTAAAGTATAAAGGCTACAAAGCGTGTATTGCGATTTTGTAACTATTGACATACATTTGAGCTGTGTAACATGGATATTTTCTGAAAAAGCAGGAACTACAAGATCACTTTTGAACCTGACAATCATAAACAGTTAGTAAAGCTCAATCTCATCACTTGGATTGTAAACTACTTTCTATAAACTGCTGACATTTTAGCTTTAATGAGCCACAATTATCTTTTGTGCAGGTTATGTAACAATAAATAAGTTATGTAATCTTAGATCAAGCGGAAGAACAGGCTGGTTTCTGCAGATGGCAAACGTTTGAAATATAACCCGACTGACCTTTCACACATAATAAACACAATAAAACAAGATAAAGGCCCACATAGAAAAAGTGCTGATTGTATCTGCAGAAAACGGTTCAACTGAACTGCTCTATGAAATGTATATTAAGATGCAGTCACTGTCATTTCAGTCAAATTTAGCAAGCTATTAAAATAAACTACTAACTGTAACATTAATAGCAACATGAATGATTTCTTATTACATATTCTTTCAAATTAACCTGTGTGTCATACACTACCTGAATTTTTAAGAACAAAAAAATAGTAGCTTGACTTCAAGTTGATCATTTGGTATCATAAGTGGCTTATATGAAAGGCAAAGGCCTCTAGATTACGCTTATTTTACCGAAATAAAACATGATCATGCCTTGATTTTTAATGATTTACTGAGGACAGTAAGGTCTGACTTTGCTTAGACAAATGTCTTGTTACTTAACAGAAATAATGTACAGTAGAATATAAAGTAATGCTGCAGTGGACAAAGAATTAATATTGTGTATGACTTGTGTTTATTAAAGACCTGTAACATGAAACAATGGAGACAACGCACCATCAGAATCACAATATCGTAAACATTGTACTGCTGACTTAAAGAATTAATATAAGATTATGTCGTACTTTGATGATTTTAAACAGAAGCATAAGCAGAAAGCTCAGATCAGAAGGAACTCACTGCAATGCCGTGCGAGGCTCCTACATGTGCATGCAGGCCGGGTGAGTTGTAGTAGGACATGCCTGCTCTGGTAAGCGTAGTTGGTGGAGTAAAGCCCACTGTGTGACTTACATACGACAGTCCTGCAGAATAAAACAAAAGAGGTACGCACAGTCAGCAAATTCAACAAGCAAGTTCAATATTAATGCAGAAAATATACACCAGTAAATTCATACTGTAAAACAATGTGTTGTGTAGTTTACAGTGCAATTCAGGTATAACTGGTTGAAAATATTTGAAAGAACAAAGAACAGTCAGTCTCAAACTGGCCACTGCTACACAAAAAATTTGAGGAATATTAAGTCTTTTGTGAGATGAAAAGCCTTAAATCAAGCAACTTTGACACAGAATATATTAAAACTAAATTATAATAATCCAGTCCCCATTCGTATTCATTACCCAAAAAGTACCATTTGGAAATTATTCAAAATTCTCACCTTATGCTCCACTTGAAGAGTCACACTGAAAAGTAAATGAAGTATTCATAGCGCTTTACTTTTTTCCACTTTTTTAATTTTACAGCTTTTTCCAAAATGGATTAAATTAATTTATTTCCTCAACATTCTACAAACAATACTCCATAATGACAATGTGAACAGATTTTTTTGTTGTTGCAAATTTATTAAAAATAAAAAATCTGTAAAATCACATGGACATCAGTATTCACAGCCTTTGCCGTGAAGCTCTAAATTGAGCTCAGGTACATTCTGTTTCCACGGATCATTCTTGAGATGTTTCAGCAGCTTAATTGGAGTTCACCCGTGGTCAATTCAGTTGATTGGACATGGTTTGTAAATGCATACACCTGTCTATATATAAGATCCCAGGGTTGACAGTGCGTGTCAAAGCACAAACCAAGCATGAAGACAAAGGAATTGTCTGTAGACCTCGAAGACAGGATTGTCAAGGCATAAGGCTGGGGAAGGTTACAGAAAAATTTCTGCTGCTCAGAGTTCCAATGAGCACAGTGGCCTCTATCATCCTTTAAGTGCAAGATGTTTGGAACCACCAGGACTCTTACTAGAGCTGGCCAGCCATCTAAGTTGAGTGATCGGGGGAAAAGGGCATTAGTTAGGGAGGCAATCAATAACCCGATGGTCACTCTGTATGAGCTCCAGCGTTGTTCTGTAAAGAGAGGAGAACCTTACAGAAGGACAACCATCTGTGCAGCAATCTACCAATCAGGCATGTATGGTAAAGTGGCCAGACGGAAGCCACTCCTTAGTAAAGTGCACATAGCAGCCTGCCTGGAATTTGCCAAAAGGCATCAGAAGGACTCTCAGACCATAAGAAACAAAATTCTCTGATCTGATGAACTCTTTGGAGTGAATGTCAGGTGTTACATTTGGAGAAAACCAGGCATCGCTCATCACCAGGCTAACACCATCCCTACAGTGAAGCATGGTGGAGGCAGCAAGAGCGTGAAGACTAGTCAGGATAGAGGGAAAGATGAATGCAACAATGTACAGAGACATCCTGAATGAAAACCTGCTTTAGAGTGCTCGTGACCTCAGACTTGGGCGACAGTTCATCTTCCAGCAGGAGAATGACCCAAAGCACACCACCAAAATATCAATGGAGTGGTTTCACAACAACTCAGTGAATGTCCTTGAGTGGCCCAGCCAGAGCCCAGACCTAAATCCTATTGAACATTTCTAGAGAGATCTGAAAATGGCTGTACACCGTCGCTTCCCATCCAACCTGACGGAGCTTGAGAAGTTCTGCAAAAAGGAATGGGCAAAAATTCCCAAAGAAAAGCTTGTGGCATCATATTCAAAAAGACTTAAGGCTAAGAAGGCTAAGAATTGAGCAAAGGCTGTGAATATTAATGTACATGTGATTTTTCAGCTTTTTTATTTGTAATAAATTTGCAACAATTTAAAAAACTATTTTTTTCCCAAATTGTCATTATGAGATATTATGTGTAGAATTTTGAGAAAATAAATTTATTTAATCCATTTTGTAAAAAGGCTGTAACATAAAAAAATGTGGAAAAAGTGAAGTGCTATGAATACTTTCCGGATGCACTGTATACACTATTTTCAGTGAACTTCAACCCTACAACTGCCTCACCTACAAAGAATGCATGCCTTGATTTTAGTCATTATTTGGCATGTTATTTTGTCTCAGTTGTGTTTAGACGGCAACATTCCCAATGACACAAAAACCCGCTTAAGCGTGCAGTTATTTTTTCGGTTATTTGCAAGTCAATTATTCATTCTGTACATCTGCTCTACTTTGGCAAGGAATGCTAGACAGACCTGTTTTTCGGGACAGGTGTACGTCTAACCTGACTGCAGTCGAATAATATTTACAAGCTCCGATTCAGTTTATGAACAATTAAAATGATCCGATGTAGAAGTGTAATATGCATCACACTAAAAAACAACAACAAAACTATGACATACAATATGACAGCTGCAATAGTGCTTCGTTTGAGTTTGTCTAGTATTTCTAAATAATATAGCTAAGAAATATCACACAAGCGAGCACACGGTTGCAAATGTGATACCTATTTTCACTCAGATAAAAATTACTAAATATAAACTAAATATAATAACAAATATAAAAGATATTGCTACGTTTCACGTATGTTTTGTGGTATTTTGTTGTTTGTTTTCTGTTTTGCACTCTTCTCTCTCTCTCTTGTTGTGGATCCTGTCCTGTTTCAGGTGTGCTACCATTGGTCGAGTGAGCTGTCAATCACCTTCGTCACTCAATCGGCGCGGCAATATGGATTGGGTCCGCGCAGCATAAAAGCCGTGTGCTTGCGCTGTTCTGGAGGAGTGCTTGGTTTCCCAGTCTCCTCACTTGTGTCGGCCGGACTGTTTACTTGTTCGTTCCGCTTGGTTCGTTTGCGAGTGCTGTGTTCTAGTTTTCTCTTTGTTGATATTGATTTATCAGTTAAACTTGTGCTGCTCAGGCTAATGTATAGTGAGATTTTGAACGATCTTTATGAGAATTGGATTACCTGAGATCTTGTTTTGCTAATGGCTAACAGTGTGTACTTTACGAGAATTCTAGTATTGCGAGCAGCTTAGTATAATTTTGTATTAGTTAGTTAATGGAGGCGTTGCCACATGTGTAATTATGTTTGTGAGTTATGAAGTTTAGTTAAGCTATGTGCTGAAGATTACGGTTTTGTTTCTGCATTTTTCTTTGATCAGTCAGTTTAGTGGGTTGGGGTTTAGTTAGTTCGTTTTGTTATATTTATTTCTTTGTTGTGGCAACACTCCTATTTTCTTTATTTAATTTGATTATTTAAAATTGCATTTATCTTCCATCTCATATTCATTGTTTGACATTATCCATTAATAAATACTTACTTTTTGTTTCACTTATCAAGCGGTTGTGTCTCCTCATTCTCCCAGCATCAATAGACTCACTGATTGTTACGTATCATCCATTTAATTATTTAACATCTTAAACACGTAACAATATATTTTGGACTCATATTATGTGTGTAAACTGTACGTGCATCATTTATTTAAGTACCAAAAAATGTGTGACCCGTAATCAAGAATAACTTGCTGGTTAAAATAATTAATGAATCAATGAATGAAAATGAATTAAGAATGCAGCATTATGTTTTTTTATCCAAGTAGACATGGTTTACCTGGTGAGATGGGTCTGCTGGAGGATGGGGATGGGCTGTAGGGAATGGGGCTGGATACGGTTCGAGGGCGCAGGCCTTGAGCAGACATCTCATTGAAGTACCTGCATAAAAATAGGTAGAGGTTAGGGCTGCACAATATAACATTTCAGCATCTATATCGCAATGAGTTACTGTATTCACATGCTGAGTTTATAAGTTAGGGTTTTTAGTTGAGTAGGAGCCAAAGTTAAGAACACACAAGATTTTTGGAGTCACAGAAGACTAATTCACTCATAATGGAGTGAAAGTGTCTCATACATATGTTTTTAACGCCTCTGACTGTGTAGGCAGAGACTTTAAAATATTCAGGCACATGAAAGTGTACTGTTTGGAACTAATAAAAATGTATTTATTGAATTATTTACACAATGAAGACTATACAGTGTTTGATTATATAAATAGCTACATCTTGTTGTACAGTCAGTGTTGTTACAGTGTTTGTACATTTGATTATTCTGTACCTGAATAATGTGATCTAGAATATTATTGGGAAGATAAAAGTTAAATATTTTATAAAAATCCCATTAATCTTCCGGAATAATCCCAAATAAGTCTAATTTAATTAATTCTTTCCAAAAAGAGCTATTCAAGCTATGTGGGCGAAATTGTTTTCATATGGCAGCAAACAAAATTTCACAATGTCTAATTTTTCCAATCTCGTGAAGCCGTAGTACAGGTTCAAATGTTTACCATTAAAATGAACTGTTAAAACAAACTGCATCAAGTGAAGTAGTAGGTGTTGCAAGAGGTATACACCATTAACCAATTAAATTTCTTCTTTTGTGTGTTTGTGGTATTTTGCGGTTACATAAAAAATATTTGAGTGTGTTTTTGTGCTGGAATTTCAGCTGGTTTAGACCTGTCATGAACAGCTGACTGCCAACGTTTTATTATCTGCATATTTTGTGCAGTGGTTAGTTCATAGCACTGACAGAAATTAATTATATAAGCACTCCACTTATATATTTGTGTTTGTTAAAAGCTAAGCCAACTTTACAACTGCCCTTGAGTTTTTTTTTTTAATCCATTTAGCAAATCTCCGGGTCTGGTGAGTGAACTATTAGCTTGGTATAAATAACTGAATCTGAGGTTTATAATGACATGTAAATATTAATTAAAATAATAAGACACAACAAAGCAGTTAGAAAATAAATTTAGAATCAACTAAAGATTTTTTTGCTAGAAATGACTAGTCTAACCTAAATCATACTGATGCTGCTAACAAAGACTACATATTTTTTTATTTTTTCTGAAGGTAAGATTTAACAGTTTACAGTACATTTAAGTTTTTCTTCGTAGTTTTACAAGGGCTGAAACCAAAATACTTGCACAATACATTATTTTTTTATATATATTTTTTTTCATCAGCAAAACCGTGTCAGTCTTGAGTCTTTCAAAAGGACATTGGTTTTGCAATTATCCTAAAAATACAACAACAAAAATGCTTGCTTTTGTGATATTACTTGGAAATATTTAATTTAGAACTATATCATATAAGGCCTGTGCTGATGCATATTTTTATAATTGGAAAAAAAAAAGCATTTTTAAATCATAAAATACGTGAAAGCATGGACTTGTGAAATTATAACGTCTTCTTTCACTTTATTAAAACAACTCTGAAATGTCGGCACAATAGCCTAGTGGTTAGCGTGCAGACATATGGTGCAATAGCACGTCAGGGCGTCACGAGTTCGAATCCCAGCTCGAGGACATTTCCCTACCCTACCCCCCCCCTCTCTCTCTCTCTCTCTCTCTCTCTCTCTCCCACTTCGCTTCCTGTCTCAAAAACTGTCCCATCTAATAAAGGCCAAAAATAAAAAAATAAATAAAAAAAACAACTCTGAGATTATTGTAGATTGTACAACCTAATCGGGCATTCACACTTAGGCCGTACTCACACTAGGTACAGTTGCCTCGAACCGGGCCAAAGCACGCTTGTCCCCCCTCCCGTCTCCCCCGACGGCCCGCGCTCACACCATACCGGGCCACGGCACGCTTACGTCATCGCTGCTGCGCTGTTCAGAAGCGCTCTTTATGGCAAGCCTTTTTAGCATTTAAATCTTTGTTCTGACTCCATAAATATATTTAGAGATATCTCTAATTATATTTTGACTAGTCATAATTATAATTCGACTAGTCAGAATAACAATTAGAGATGTCTACAATTGCAAATGTACTAGTACGAAATCAGATTGGAGATATCTGCAAATATATTATGACTAGTCATATTCCTCCATTGACTTCCATTGAAAAATATTTGCAGATATCTCTAACTGAGTTTTGACTCGTCACAATTGTAATTAGAGATATCTCTAACTGAGTTTTTACTAGTCATACAGATGTCTTTAATTCGTAATATTTAGAGATATTTACAAATATATTTGAAGATATCTCTAATTAATTTACTAATAGTCGAATTGCAGTTGTAGATATCTTGAATTGGATTTTTGACGAGTCAAAACTCAGAGATATCTGCAAATATTTTTCAATGGAAGTCAATGGAGGAATATGACTAGTCATAATATATTTGCAGGTATCTCCAATCTGATTTCGTACTAGTACATTTGCAATTGTAGATATCTCTAATTGTTATTCTGACAAGTCGAATTATAATAATGACTTGTCAAAATATATAATTATATCTCTAAATATATTTATGGATAGTCAGAACAAGGTTTAAATGTTAAAACGGCTTGCCATACGCTCTCATTTAGCAGCACAGTGGAGATTTCTCTAGTTATATCCTTTCAGTCGTTTGTTATGCAGTGACATGCAGTCAAATATTTCGCCAAACAGTCCTTAGGGATGCGGGGACACACAGTCAGATATTTTACCGAACAGATCCGCCACTTTTGGCGCTCATAAACAATCAAAGCTCTCGTGCTGCAGGAATGAGGAGGTCTGCTGAAGGCGCGCAGCTGGCGTGCTGTGAGGAGTTTGCGTCTTTAATAAACTACGGCAGTTTGCGATCACTGAACAGTAAGAATGATTAATAAATCCATATCAAACAGTCCCTTAAAAGTCACGTCTCGCTTTCGGTTTCGGGCTTTGGCGCGTTTCGCGCTCACACACAAGCGTACCGCGCCAAAGCCCAAGTGTACCGCGCTCAGGCACACCTCTTCCAACCGGGCCAGGGCCGGCCAAGTGAACCGTGCTTGAGCCCGATTCAGCGCACTCACACTTCTCAAACGATCCGGGAAACGGGCCTGGGCACGGTACGGATGGCATAGTGTGAGTAGGCCCTTAAAGTGTGAACATTGAGTTTACTCACTTCATTCACTCATTAAATTTGCTTCACAATAGATGCAGATTCGCATCATGGGTGGAGCATCTGCTGTCTGCCCGGTGACTTTAGTTTTATTGCTAAATGGCTAACATGGATTTTATGGCCCGTTTCCACTGAGTGGTGCGATACATTACGTTTTATGGTCATTTCCACTGCCAAAGGGTACCTAAAAGCGAACTATAGCGTACCACCTAGCACGAAAAAGAGGTACCAAAAGGAGGAGCTAGACATGCAGCTGAATGCTACTGGTTTACAGAGATACGTTACTTGCAGAAGTAGCAGAATGAAAACAATGAAAGCATCATTTTTAAATACACAGCCGAGACATTACACCGTAATAATATACATGGTCGACCCAAGCTCAAACAAACCTTGTCGTCGTCTTGATGTACAGCCATAAAGCCAAAAAGAACAAAATCTGCTGTGACCTGTTGTTGTTTTATGAGCCCGTCTAAAAGTGCGAGCGGTTTCACTTTGTCCAGAGAGTTAGCAATCGCGTCTATATTTGAAATAACGAACTTCTTGAGCTCATATTAATAAGGTGCCCGTGATTATTAAACGCACTCTGATACCCAATCCTTTTAGAAAGAGACAAACGCCAGAGTGAAGCACGAAAAAACATAAGGAGAAGCCGGAAAAAAACAGCAGCAAATTATGCTTTCTGCAACAAAGCATGAAGAAACTGCCCTGTTTAACTATTATCATCACCTTTTGTACTAATATGAACTTGGAATGACAGAATGACTCACTAACAGAGGCTACATGTGCTGCTGAAGAATAAAGACAGATATGAGAGGTTTACACTGGGCTATATGTTGCATGTTGTTTTTGAACCTAAATAAGGATTAAATGTCTGTTGTGTGTAGTTTATCTGTAAGTGGTAACATCTCGGAGACTGTAAAGGTCTATATACGTTTATAAATACTGCATTTATTTATTTCTTTTATATAATTGCTGACACTACTGTAGGATTTTTTTTTCGCATCATTGATCTGCAGTTACAATCAGATCACGTTCATAGAAAGGTTAGTCATAAACATTTATACACAAGTACTTATGTGTATAAAGCATCTGTTTAGTGAGAAGTGCTTCTCATATATGTGAACGACCTGTACGGCTCTACTGTGACATTTCCTCAAGTAAAAATGACGTTGTCTGAAACTTTGCTGTACACCACACCCACCAAAAGGGTATCCTTTAGGCAGTGGAAACGCAAGCCTAATAAAGGTGACCTGTACCACTCAGTGGAAATAGTCCATTATTGAGAGTAGCTGTGCTTTAGATGTGCTTCAGAGGTGCTGTGTCAGAGTCCACTACATTCTTTCAGAGGTGCACCCAGCTCTGTGAGTAAATCAACTCCTCTAAAAATGGCATCTGGATGATGGAGGATTTCAACGGTGCTTCCGACTGAGCCAAGCCCAGTTTGATAAGCTATAGTCCAGTGTCTGCAGGAGGATTTCCCCCCATGACACCAACACCAGACGAAACATCATAATCACGCCCCTACTATAACAAGCTTCTGATTGGTTAATGTGATACTGAAATTTGCTAAAGTTGTAAGTGGCTTTGGACAAAAGCGTCTGCTAAAATGACAATGTAAAGTTCAGATTTTCCAACTCGGGCGATTTGAGAGTTAAGCGTGTCAAACAAGCAAAATGACCAATTTGTACGAATTGCATCATTTGCGCCACCTCATTCACATCTAGTCACATCTTATCATTGACTTAACATGTAAATAACTCACGATTGATGCTTCATCCGCGTCTGCTGTGAACGCTCTATTGGTTTTACACATGACGTTTGGGCTGTGGGTACTAGGGTTGTCACGATACCATAAATTAATGTCACGATACTACTTCAGCTGCAGTATCACAATACCAAATAATATTTATTCATAGTTCAAATCTAAAAAATTAATCAAATTGTGCGAAATACTTATGTTTTATATGTTATAATACTTGCATTTAATTTGTAATGACCTTATTATCGAATTAATTCAATTTATTAGTACAGGCATTCAGCTTTATTGGTATATATTGTGACGTTTGTTGTTATTAAAATAATAATAATAATATAAATAATAATAATAGTATTAATAATATAATAATAATAAAATAAATAAAATCACTGATTGATTGATTGATTGAACTGTTAATGATGATACTACAGTTTAAAAACTACAGTATTTTGGAGCCAGAGTATCGCGGTACTACCATAGTACCAGTAAACAGGTACCTCTCATCATCCATCTCCAGGCTGGACTCGCTCTCAGAGAGCTGTCGGCACAGAGCCTCTCTGCGCTCCACCTCCCTCTGGAGCTTCCTCTGCAGGCGGATGTTCTCCTCCCGCATGTGGCGCTCTTCTTCAATATACTGAGCCCGCTTCTCTGTATCTGAACACACACACACACACACATGCACATTAATTAGGTGAGCTTATCTTTATGGCGACTGCATTGGTTCACATGAGCAACCAAATGAGGTCAACATGACAAAGCATGTGAGACAGCTTGACCAGTTTATGGAGGAGTCATCTGCCATATCAGGCTAGAGCGTGCGCAAGCAATTTAGAACAATTTGCCATTTAACATTCATGTACAAATGGCATCACAGAGTTCGTGCCATGTAGTTGACTTATGAGATTTGCTGAACTTGTGAAAAAGCCTTGTGATCATGTATAGGCATACCTTGCGGCTTTAACATATTTGTTAATGTAATGGTGCATAGATTATCACATAAAGGATTAAGATTTAATGCATCACAAATATTACATGGGAGAGATTACAGTTCCATAAACGTACAGCGAGCACCAGTACACACCAAGTATGCACTTAAGGCCATGAAGAATACTTCAACTATTGAAAACGATCATACTGCCATCTAGTGGCCATGAATAGTAGTGGCATCAAAATCAGGGTACAATGTGAAAATCGTTGTTTTAGTAGCAACTTTAATGACAATGTATACATGTGTGTATTACAACGTTACAGTCTTAAATCAGTCTATTTTAGTAAACTGATATGGTGTTCAAAAAATAAACTAAAAATGAATACATACATTAAAAAATGTCCTATTACAAATGTTTTTGTCAAGCGGGCGCTGCCATTTGAGTCTTTTTGGTTCGAGACAACCGGTCTCATTCACTTCCATTCATTTTTTGACGTTAAAAACTGCTCGTTACGCTGCTTGATGTTGCAATTTGTTATTTTCTTATTATATTATTCTACTTGGTCTGTATAGTCATGCAAACATTTGTTTGTAGAGCAAGTAGTTTGACCATTTTTTGCCGTTTATTATTCCTAGTCATTTCTCCAATAGGCGACTGAATCGATAGTTCTAAGACAATCGCAAAAAACTAGGGGTGTCAAAATGAATTGTTTCTTCGGTGCACCGCAACGCAGACGCGGACAATTCTGTATCGGTTCAGTAATAATTATAACCGGTTATTATGTACTGACGTCATTTATCTCCTATGCGCTCTGTCGCAAGGGAGTTGAGCGCGAGTATTTACTACACTCAGGGACGGCCCGTGGCATAGGCACCATAGGCATATGCTAAGGGCGCTGTACATTCATGGGGCGCCAGAAATGAGCGCGGTTCAGTTGGTTTTGTTTTCGATTTTCCTGACACACATTCAGTTATAGACGGCATTAACTCAAAAACCTCTTACCCTAAAAAGATCTAAAGTGTGTTTCCTACAAAAAGACAAAGCTGGTTATGTTTTACAGCTGTCTTTCTTTCTTTTTTTTTTCTTTTTCTTTTTTTTTCCCGCTCGACATTACGAGCACTGCTCCGTTTAAGCCCTCGCAATATGTGTTTAGCTGGGAGAGCTCACGCTGAGGGGAACTCTCCGTAAGGGACCGTTGGAAAAGTGTTGGGGTGTCAAAATTAATTGTTTCTTCGGTGCACCGCGATGCAGACGCGGACAATTCGATATCGATTCAGTAATAACCATAACCGGTTATTATGTAGTGACGTCATTTATCTCCTATGCGCTCTGTCGCGAGGGAGGTGAGCGCCGTTATTTACAACACTCAGCCAACTCAGGGCCGGCCCGTGGCATAGGCACCATAGGCAAATGCTTAGGGCGCTGTATATCTAGTGGTGCGCCAGAAATGAGCGCGCTTCAGTTGGTTTTGTTTTCGATTTTCCTGACACACTTTCAGTTATAGACGGTCACGGCAATAACTCAAAAAACGCTTACCCTAAAAAGATCTAAAGTGTGTTTCCTACAAAAAGACAAAGCTGGTTATGTTTCACAGCTGTCTTTCTTTTTTTCGCTCAACATTACGAGCACTGCTCCGTTTAAGCCCTCGCAGTCTGCGTTTACTTTAGCCGGCATAGCTCGCGCTGAGAGGAGCTCTCTGTAAGGGACTGTCGGAAAAGTGCTTATTTTTTTCGTTTTTCTGCTCCGCTCAGCGCGAGCTCTCCCTGTTGCAAGGGCTTAAGTGTGTTTGTTTGTGTGTGTGTTTGTTTGTTTGATGCCGTCTATGTTTGTGAATATGTTTGAATGAGAGACTGTGTGGTGCTGTGTGTCTGTGTGTTTATACAGACAGCATGTTATAGCCTCCCCCCAAATTATAACACTATATATGGAAAGCATCGTCAATGCACCGTGATGCACCGAGATATCGAATTGAACTGAGTCGATGGCATGATAATCGTAACCGAACTGAACCGTGAGACCAGTATAGGTTCACACCTCTAGAAAAGTGCTTCTATTTTTTCGTTTTTTTTTTCCGTTTTTCTGCTCCGCTCAGCGCGAGCTCTCCCTGTTGCGAGGGCTTAAGTGTGTGTGCGTGTGTGTGTTTGTTTGGTGCTGTCTATGTTTGTGTATGTGTTTGAATGAGAGACAGTGTGGTGCTGTGTGTCTGTGTGTTTATACAGACAGCTTGTTATAGCCTCCCCCCTAAAATATAACACTGTATTTAGAAAGCATCGTCAATACACCGTGATGCACCGAGATATCGAATTGAACCGAAGGCATGATAATCGTAACCGAACCGTGAGACCAGTAAAGGTTCACACCTCTAGCGAAAACAGGCGCACTTCCGCATATTAGAGTAAGGTCAATATTACATCCTTGTAGAATCCATAATACACATCTCTGGTTCAAGATTCGATTTGATGAATAGAAAGTTTAACTAGTAAAAAATTTACTCAAAAGTGATAAAAAAAAGTTAACTCTTCAGAGAGTCCAGAGTTAGTTTAGAATTTTTTTTAAAGCATATGAAGAGGTCAGAGTATGTGTAAGAGTGTTTATCTAGTGCAATACTGCGACTCACGCTGCAGTTCTGAAGTGCGGAGGTTTTTCTTCAGCCGCTCCACCTCACTCTTGAGGAATCGGATGTGTCGCATCATATTCTCAGGTGAGTCGATCTCCATGGAGATGGTGTCTCTCGGGGACGGAGGAGCAGAAACAGGCTGGTCCAGCTTCTCCTGAAGAATCCTGCAGAAAACATGACGGTTAATCTCTTTGTTTCTATCTACAAATCAGAAAATATAAAGTAGTTTATAGATAAAACTGACTGATAATACACACAGGCAGTATTACGCTTTAAATATTCAACCTGGTCTCACTTACAGGGCAGTGTTTATACGTCTGAGCTGTGGCAATGTTACTCAAAGTAGCAGCTACTGAAAACGGAGAGCACTGACCTTTTTTCTGCTTCCAGTTTGTCCATACGCTTCCATAACCGATTCACAAGTGCTTCTTGTTCTTGTTCTAAAGTGTTTTCCAAGTCGATCTTTTCACGTCTGAGCTAAAAGGATATACACAGTTGAAATACATGCAAAAATGGAAAAGAATCATCTAGGACTGAAAAAGGCTTACCTGTTCTAAGGTGAGCTGCTTGGAGATGGTGTCGTTCTCCAGCTTCTTGATCTTCTTCATCAGTTTGTTGACTTGAAACTCCTGCTCCTGTTCTAAGTGCTGCTCCAGTTCAGCTTTTTCATGTTGGAGCTGAGCAAGAAATGGACAACAACAAACTTTAAACTGATACGCTTGAGAGTGTGCCAGACTGAAGGGGCACAAGATTCATATTGCAGTCTGTATTATAAAAAAGGCCAGAAATCAAAGTAGGTTCTGATTCAAATACAACACTCAAAATAAACAACAAGCTTAATAGAGAGAGAGAGAGAATTTTGGCTGTCATGACATTAAAACATGTTTTAACCACGTTTTATAAACACCACTTTTCTATAGTTATAAAATAATTCTAACAATTAAAAGTCATTAACAGCAATAAACTACAAGATGAATACAGTTAACACTTATGCAGCCAAGATGCAATACATTTATCAAAGTAGTGGATAAAATAAAGAAAATATTACAAAACGTCTCCGTTTAAAAATGATATTTAAAGAATCCTAAAAGAAAATATAAATATACATTTCAAATAATAAAAAAAAATTGTAAAAAATAAATAAATAAAACATAAATAAAAAAATACATGAGTAGAATACAAATAAAATAGAATGAATAAATTAATTAAAATAAATAAATAAGTAAAAAAAATATATAAATAAAAGAAAAAGAAAAATTAAATTTAATGAAATTTAAATAAAAAATAAAAATACATAACAAATACATTTATAGATATAAATAAAACATTTAATAAACAATGAAAAATAAATAAAGCAAATGAATAAAATGTGTATAATATAAAAAATAAAAAAGTAAAACTTAAAAAAATAAATAAAACAAATAAATTGTGTAGATACAAATAAAAATGTAAAAACAAACAAAACAAATAAATAAAACAAATAAGAAAAATTATAAGTAAAAAAATTATAAATAAAAACAAATACATAAATAAACAAAAATATTATTAAAAAGAAATTAAATAATGTTTAAATTAAAAACAAAAAACAAATGTATTGTATGAAACAAATTTGTATGTATGTAACAAACAAATATATATATTTTTTACAGTTATAAAAACTAAAAAATATTTAAATACATTTTTAAATATTTTACAACAGAAAGAATTATTTTAAATTGCAATAAAGTAATTCAACATTAATTTTTTTTTAATCTGTACTTGTAATCAAAATTTGCAGGCTGGGATACAAAATACAAAATTGAGATTTTTTTACTTTAAACTTATGTATGAACCGATTTGATCAGGGTCAACATTTTCATTTTAGTTGACAGAGGAAAAGGTCAGACCGCAGACTATTCTGATAACACTGATCTGCACTTCCAGTCGAAACTCAAGAATCAGATAATAGAAATCTACTTGAATTTTACATTGAATGTTATATTTTAAGACTCTTTAGACAGTTGAGGTTAAAACCTCGTTTTTCCAAAGCTCAACAGCTAAAGTCCAGCTGTGACAAACTAAATGCTGTTGTTATTTTTTTAAGGTGGTAGACCGGCTCAAAATTACTCATCCCAGCTTTTCGTTTCACTGAAAATCAAATGATGTTGCGTTCCTTTAAAAAGCATTTCAGGTGAACTTTATAACATCTGAACAGTGTAAAAAAGGCAGTAATTACAAGTAAACATCATGGAAATCATTTGGTTCCAGTTTTTTTTTTTTGCTTTCCTTCCCGCTTCCTGATTTCCAGACTTAGCTCAGAACAACATTTGTTGAGTCTGAATGCTTACAGCTGCATTTCCACTAAATTTGCAACCATGACTCAACATTTTCCCATCTGTGATGAAGTGGGTACACAGATGACCATATGCTTCTCTGCAGTTCTCTTCCCCACTCCATCTTTGCCTCTTTCTCTCTTATTTCACAAGAAACAGTGGGCATACAAATTCCCCCACCCATTTAAGCCTTGATAAGTTCCTTAAAAATGGCATTGCTAAAACAGTTCCCATAAAAAGCATGAATCACTGCCTCAAAGCCGGATGAATTTCGAGACTGCACTGAAACTAGAAAGGGCTTAAGGAAGCTTTTTTGTTTTTTTTGCATGTAGTTACCACAAAAACAGCCATCTATCACTATAAGCAAGCGTGTGTGCAAGTTTAAATAAGAAGACTTGGTCAAGGCTGCTAATAGAGCAGATCTCGAACAGCATTTGCTGTACTACCAACATGGCACATGAAGCTGGGAACTATTTTCTTTTACTTACTGTTGAAGTCATTATTAAAAATATTAACCCTTCTGACTTTTATTTTATTTCATTTTTTTTTTTCAAATATTTTCCAAATCATGCAAGACATTTTATTGAATTTTTTTTTTTACAGTTTTTCCTAATAATATTTTGTCTTCTGGAGAAAGTCTTATTTCTTTTATTTTGGCTAGAATAAAAGCAGTTTTAAATTTTTAAAAAACATTTTAAGGTCAATATTATTAGCCCCTTTAGCAATATATATATACATATACATATAAATAAATATAAATATATATATATATATATATATATATATATATATATATATTTTTTTTTTTTTTATATGTATATGTATATAAAATATATATATATATATATATATATCTGGTAAGTAGGCAGACCATTGTATAATGACGGTTAATTCTGTAGACAATAAATGTATATTATTTGTATAGTAGTAATTATACATATACATACAATTAATACACATTTAATTATCTACAGAATAAACCATCATTATACAATGGTCTGCCTACTTACCAGAGCATATGTAGGAATCATAGAGTGAAATTCAATACCCTTTCCATAAATTAAGACCTTATAACCGCTTTTTAACCAGAAACACTAGCAAGATTTTAACTTACAGTATATTTACTAAATATTAATGTAAGATACTAATCCAAAACTAAAACATTATTCATATACTGAATAAAAATCTATTAAAGAGCCCCTATAGTTTTTGAAAATAAGCTTCCATGCAGTGTGTAACACAGCCCTAAGTAATTAACGAACATCCAGCTGAGGTTTAAATCTGAAAGTGCAGCTTGTTTAAAACTATTAACTCTTTAGCAAAATAGTCAACTTAGAGTCTAATAAATGAATAGAGTTGGCATCGAATCTTTTGTTTGATTGCATCAGCATCGACACGTTACATCACCAAATAGTTCCAGTTCCAGTAAAATGTAAACGCGCTTTCACTTCAGACACTAGCAGAGGCGCGGGGAATCATGGGACTGATCATGACACGAAGATGACGATCACTGACAGATGGAGATTCGGCTGCAGGGAATAAAGGGTTAACGTTCATTTTCATAACACTTTTTTTTTCTAATTTGCTTTGTTTGAACAAGTGTCTAATCGAATTCATATCCAACATACAATCCATTGTGGGCAATATTAGCAGTTAGAGTACAGACACTTCTACACTTCAAATTATTTTTGACCATGTGGCATACTCTTTTCAACATTCTATGGTTTGGGACATACCAATTCTATATTCGAACAAATATTTAGGATGGATAGTATGCGAACTGGCACACAGCACTTGACAACCTGGCTTAGGTGTGTCTGATTGGGATTGGAGCAAGACTATGCAGGACATTGGCCTTTTATGACCTAGTTTGAGCTTAGCTTGAGTATATCAGGCCTGTATATTACAGCAAAATGAATTCCAGACAGTGACTGATCAACAGCAGAGCACTTACTTGCATAAGTTTCCGAGAGAGCTCATTGGTGAGGAACTCCTCTTCCTTCTCATAGTTGACTGCTAGTGTTTCTTTCTCTTTCTGCAAGGCTTGAATCTTCTTAAACAGGGTATTACTGATGAACTCTTCTTCTTGTTCTGCTCTCGCTTGCTAAAAAATTAAAATATATATATATATATATATATTTTTTTAAAAGCACAACAGCATTGCCGCCACAAATTGCTATGTTTTCGGTCTATAAAACATTTTTTTCCACTATGAAATGATATGATGAAGGGACAAATAGTAACAATAGTAATACAATTAAATAACACATTTTATTTAAAGCCCCTTTCAAGAAACCCAAGGTCACTGTACAACATTATATACACAATTCAATAATTTAAAAATAAACAGACAGTATAAAAATATTCAAACTTGGTTACATTAATTGATATGAGACTGGAAAGAAAGCGAGCTGTCGAGGATGACACTCAAACTCTTAACCTGAGGAGAGGGGGAAACTGAAGTGTCATCTATAGTAAAGGAGAGGGAGTCATATTTAGAGAGTGTAGATTTGGTGTCAACAAGTAGTTTTATCACTGTTAAGAAATTCAAAGTGAATTTGAGGTGGTAATAAATAGTTGATAATAAAGTCCTGACTTTAATTAAACAAATGAAAACGTTTTTTACTGTTAATGGTTTGTAATAACCATTCTGAATACTAAAAAAATAATAGCTCAAAGATATTATATTCACTTTTTATTATTATCTCTTAACTTAAAAAAATATATAATCTAAAGTTTTACACATTTCCTTAATTTAACCCTTGTGTGGTGTTGGGAATGTTTTCATCCACTCAGAGGTGATTTTGAGGCTCAATCTGGTCACAAAGTTCTCTGTGTTTCAGCAAATGGAATGATTTTTGGTCAAAACATTTTTGAAACCTTTTTGTGAAGATGCTTTGAAATTTTTCAAAAACTCAATACACTCTAGGCAATTTACAAACAGTAAAATTTATAAATGTTACCTCTTCTTAACACAGGGCTTACGCAGGTTAAAAAATATGAGACACTTTGCTTAGATATTTCACAATAAGGGTGCTTTCACACTTGGTTTAATTGCCTGGACCAAACCCAAGTTTGATTGTCCCCGTCTTGCCACCTTCTTGGCTGGTTTGTGTTCACACCGTCTTTTTTCCTTCTGAACCCCGGTACGCTTGCGCCATCAAGCTGCTTTTTTTTGTACAGCTGTTGCTAGATGACGGCCACGAAAGCAAAGTGCCAAAATGGAGACATCCGCAAATCATGGTCATTCTGCTTTTACTGAATCTTTTGGTTTTGTTAGCAAAATCAAAATACAGAGAGCCACTTACGACCACCTCTTTCAGGCGGACTCTGGTATGGTTCACCCAAGTACAGAAGACACGTTTACACTTGCTAAACATACCGTACTTTGGTGTAAAACGACCAAAAGTACTGGTGTGAAAGCACCTTAGGTGAAGAATCAGATTGATTTCCTACAAGCATCATAATGTATAGGGAAAAGCTAAGTTCAGTTGTGTAAAAGCAATTTTCAATGCACTCCAAACCTCAATTTCATAAATGAACTGAAAGTCTAACAGAAACCACGTTATTTCTGCATCCAGGTGTTGCCAAGTCTGCAAGCCTTAACCTTGAGGAAATAGGAAGTGTATGAAGATAAAGGGCTTTATGCAGATAGGGATGACTAAATCGGACTTAGCCAGAGACCAGGGGTCCGTTCTTCGTACGTGGATTACTCAGTTAGCTGGATTTGGATATTGACGATTTGACACGATCCAGGATCGTTTCGTTCTTCAAAGCTGATCCGAGAGTTGTTGTCATAGCAACAGTTCTGTTAGCTTAAACCTGATCGGGAGCAGGTTCAATTAATATAAACAGGATTAGATCGGCTTAGTTCAAGCAAATATAATACGGAAAGTATGTTCTGAATTCTGATATTTTCTTACAGTAGTAGTTATATACACTTGGGAAAAGAGTAAATATTTTTTAAACCATATATAAAGGTATAGTTATTAATAAAATAAATATATATTAATAAAACGTATGCAATCTGCATTCTTGAAATGAAAGTACAAAGACTGCCACCTGGTGGTGCAAAGAGAAAACGTATTGATATGAACTTTTTAGATCGCTTTAGTACAAATTGTGTATAATAGAAATGCACAATATGTGACTTTTTTTAAAGCAATAATACATTTATGCAGTCATAAACATGTTTTGATAGTTAATATAACGGTGATTTGATGCTTCACAAAAGTTGCAGACGCCTTTACTAATATCAAAATGCTTTTGTAAACAACCAGTTATTCTTTACACCGATTAAAAAAACGGCTACTATAATAAAGAAAATATTTTCTAAATGTAGAACTAAATACACTGATATGCATTGAAATACATGATGAATACTCTTGACACATGAAAGTGTAAAGCCTGCAGCTCACAACAAATGTGTAAAGTTATTGCGTGTCCTATTTAACAAGCCGTTTACTGCTAATTTGATGTAATTTTGCTCACATGGATAATTGAATATTAATCAGATGATGTCATTACGCTGCTGTGCCGTCAGCCAATCGTTGCATTGCTGATCATGATTTGGAGGATCCATAGATCTGTCCTTCATAACACACGCAGCGATCTCAGATCAGTTCATCCAGACATTCTAATCTGATTCACGAACTTGTTTGAAGAACCAAATTAGCGAGAGATCAGTTATCAAGATTAAAAGATCCAGGATCTGCCAAATCATCTTAGATCATTTAAGCGAGATACGAAGAACGGACCCCAGCTGCTTTTTCTCACATTTGAGTATACAAATAAACATTTGCTCACCACATGAGAACAAATGTCATATGATCATCAAATATTAACTAGCAAGACAGACTGTACTGTACTGTACTTTACAGAACTGCAGCAACAACACATCAATATTTCATGCTCACAGGTTAATCAATTCATCATTCAGAGCATGTGACTGTTTGTGTTACAAACTCATTGAACTAAATGCCAGGTTTATGTGCAATCCTATTAATCTTATAGTATCATACAAGATATATTAGGGCTTTTAATGAGCAACCTCATTAAAATGTACAGCTTTAATGATTGCATTATTAATTAGCAATTTTAAAAGTAATTTACCCAAAAGTGAAGAGAGCCATTTGGGTAAAGTTGGTTTTATATTCGCACATTTTGTCCTAATAATGTAATTATACTATAGTATTGTCCGCAAATTCTAAAAAAAGGTATATTAGCAGCCAACTACTATCAGAGTCCAACATTGTTCACAGTCAATTAAACAGTGCTAATGTTATTTTGAAGGCATTCTTACATGCCATCTCAAAGCAAATTATTAAAGTAACGTGGCAAACAATATAGTGAGCGTGTTGTCTCTGTTCAAAAATGAACGAATGTGCAGATACAAAACCAACTTTACCTTGGTAAGTGAGCCTTGTCCATGTGGAAAAGTGCATTTTATACTCTTTTGTTAGCTTACTCATAAAAAAAACATTTATTTAAACCAAACCAAGTGACCCAGCAAGACTTTTTTATTTTTAAAAGATGTCTAATAGATGTCTAAACAACATTGTCTTAGCTAAAACAAGGCTAAATCTGGGCTGTCATTGAAAAATCGAAGACATCTAAAAATAGGCCAAAACTAGACTAATCATCAAATAAACAGAAATGAATGACTACACATATAAAGCCTGTCTAATCTGTCTATTTTACGACTAGTCTAGTTTTGAGCTATTCTTAGATGTCTATTAGATTTTAATTGGCAGCCCAAGTTTAGCATTGTTTTAGCCAAGCTGTCTACGTTTAGATGTCTATTAGACGTCTATTAAACACAAAATTGTTTGCTGGGGAGTTGTATATAAAAAATAAGACTCACTTCCCACAGGTAATTAATATAAAACCAACTTTACCTCAGTAAATGAGCCTTATTCATAACATAACATATCTTTTCATTTTTATGCAGATGACTCTCAGCTGTATGTTCCCTTAAAATCTCAGAACTCCCTGCAGTCTCTAATTACTTGTCTTGAGGATATTAAATGTTGGATGGCAAAAAACTTCCTTCAACTTAATAATGACAAAACTGAAGTTATTCTCTTCGGCCCCTCAAAAACAAGAATGTCGTATATTGGGGGCTTGGGAAGTCTTGCACCGTATGTTAAATCGCAAGTAAAAAATCTAGGAGTTATCTTTGATTCTGAGCTTTGTCTAGAAAAACAAATTAGCTCAGTGGTTAAGAATAGTTATTATCAGCTGAGGATCATCTCCAGACTCAAATCCATTCTTTCCTTTCAAGATCTGGAAAAGGTCATACATGCTTTTATCACGTCCCGCCTAGACTATTGCAATTCTTTATATGTTGGTCTCCCCCAATCCTCATTGGCACGGTTGCAGTTGGTTCAAAATGCGGCAGCTAGACTTTTAACAGGCACCAAAAAACATGCTCATATCTCACCAGTTTTAGCATCCCTTCATTGGCTTCCTGTTAATTTTAGAATTCAGTTCAAGATTTTACTTATTGTTTTTAAAGCACTGAATGGGCAAGCACCTTCTTATATATCAGAGCTTATTAACTTACAGTCAACTCCTCGGTCTCTTAGGTCCTCAAATAAAATTTTACTTCAAGTTCCTCTGTCACAACTTAAACTGAAAGGGGATAGAGCCTTTGCAGTCGCTGCTCCTCGTCTGTGGAACCAGCTACCACAGGATATTACAAGTGCTTCTTCTCTCTCTATTTTTAAGTCCAGACTTAAGACACATTTTTATTCTATTGCATTCCCAGGCTTTTAATCTTTATTGTGGTTGTTGCTGTAATACTTTTATTCCTATTATTACTTTTATTGTTATCTTTTACTCTTTTAGAGTGTGTGCTATGGTTTTGTTCAGCACTTTGGTCAGTGCCAAACTGAAGTAAATGTGCTTTATAAAAAAAAAACTTTACTTTACTTTACTTACTTACTATTCGCAGGGAAGCATGCATTTTATACTCTTTTGTTAACTTAGTCATAAAAAAACACTTACTTAAATCAAACCAAGTGACCCAGCAAGCCTTTTTTGTTTTTAAGAGATGTCTAATAGATATCTAAACATTGTCTTAGCTAAAACAAGGCTAAATCTGGGCTGTCAGTGAAAATCTAATAGACGTCTAAGAAAAGGCCAAAACTAAACTAGTCATCAAACAAACAGAAATGAATGACTACACATGTAAAGCCTGTCTAATCTGTCTGTTTGACGACTAGTCTAGTTTTGGGCTGTTCTTAGATGTCTATTAGATTTTAACTGGCAGCCCAAGTTTAGCATCGTTCTAACCAAGCTGTCTACGTTTAGACGTCTATTAAACACAAAACTGATTGCTAGGGAGTTAAATATACAAAAATGAGACCGACTTCCCACAGGTAAATATTATAACCAAATACAATTAACGTAATAATATTGTGTTGCTAACTTAGTTGACATGCTATGATTGGTATTTCTCTGACAGTTCATTTCACTTTAAACGCAACCAGAACTTCAAGTCAAACATTAAGATGTGAATTAAAATGTGTTTGTTGGTTATTTTACTAATTCTAATAATAAATCTGAAAATCAGCATGACACACCAGACAACAATATGAGCTAATCATTAGCACATTAGCTTTAGAGAACTAAATTAACCGTAACAGCAACTCTAAATGTGTTTAGCAGCACATGAAACACATAATCTGGTTATGACCAGTGTTTGCTTCCATTAGCATTCAGTCAATCAAGTATTAACAGTAAAAGTAGTTATGAATGACTCACTATGGTAACGCTGGCTTTGCGCAAGTCTCTGTTCTCCTCCTGCAGAGCTTTACACTTCAGTTTAAACGTCTCGAGCTCGATCTTCAACACTTTGTTTTCCTGCTGCAAAGACGCCAGGCGGTTGGACAGCTCCTCAAGACGGAATGAAGAGATGAGGATGGAGGAGGATGAAGATGAGGAGCAATGAGGGGTGGCTCCGTCAGTGTCGCTCTCACTCGCACTATCCGCCATCATTGAGCATCAGTGTGTGAGTCAACGTGAGGATGAGGGGGAATCAAATACTGCTGTGGCACGCGAGTCCCTGCAGCGACCCCTACTGATTCGATTCACTTGAAAATGCATGGGCGGGAGAGATTAAAAGTACGATTGGGGTTGATAACAATTCTGCGGCTTTAAATTGTGTATTTCAAGATTAAAGATACAAACTATAGCTGTACATGGTTCAATTATTGATTAGACAGCCAGCGTTTTCGTGTGTTAGCTGTTAATTTTCTCAGCGCTGATTCGGTTGGACCAATCACAGTGAACTGTTCTCTCCCGTTTAATAAGAATTCACTTTATAGATTACTGTGGCGCATGTGGTACCTAGCAGTTTAATTAATTATTCAACATTAATTATTATAATATTTATGAGTGAACAAATATTTAAAAATTTATAATGATAATATAATAACATAGTTGAAAACTTTAGCTGTTGCGTACAACTTATCAGGCCTTCACCAAACATCCTCACCCGCAAAAACAAATGAATTCTCACAATTTTCTAGTTCACGTTAACATTTCTGGTTTGTTTTAGCAGAAAACATCTTCATGGCGACAGCAGTCGAGCCTGCTATAGAAAGCTGAAGACCCTGGATTCGGTTAGTTTGTCAGTTAAAACAAAATGGCCACATAAGCAAGATAGGCTATATGTTGTCTACTAAATGACATAAAATGTTCAACTGTTTCTATGACAAATTAAAGGGTTAGTTTACCCAAATATAGGGAAATTACCGGTTTATAAACATTGAGGATACATGCACATCGAGGTTGCAGAAAAAAACCGGGAGCGCTAGCATTTACAGCGAGGGAATTCAATTCAATTCACCTTTATTTGTATAGCGCTTTTATGTAGATTGAGTCAAAGCGACATGGGAATGACAGCGGAAATGACATCTGATGCGGTACAAAGTTTGTTGTTGTATTAGAGAAAAGTTATATTGATTACATATTATATATATATTATTATTTACATAATGCTTTCAGCATATTATAACAGCTTGTCACCCAGTTAAAAGCAGTTATTCGGCAAAATTAACGTTACAGTGAGCATCTGACAGGTCCATTTGCAATAGCACTCTCCCAATGGATATTGGATAAGATAAAATGGCCAAGTATCCAGCCCCAAATATACAACTATTTCATTGAAGTAGCCTATCCCTTTAGGCTACTTCTGGAAACGCAAGTTTATGCGTCAAGTTTCGCAGTTCACTGTGTTGCAAAGTTCAAGCTTGGTGAACTCTGACCTTCTTGAGACCAATCGAGGATCAAAACATGACCTCTCTGGACAGAAATTTAAAATATGGACCAATCGCTCGCTTTTATAAATGTCTAATTATCTTGTTTAATCTCGCCCCTTTTTGCAGTGCCGTACTACAGAATTTCGCAAGCTCAAACTCTAGTGTGACTCTAATGAGTTCTATGCTAATGAGAGAAATCTTCACTAGTGGGCGGGGCTTTCCCACTCTGATGACACGTACAAAAGGAGAATGTCAATCAAAGTGTTTCTGCAGACTGTTTTTATCAAGTGTGATTATAAAAAATTCAATTAACACTTATTTCCCATTAGAAGCTGGTTATATTCACAGACTGTTGACATGCAACTTTAAACCCCTTATAAAAGTGATTTTTGCATAAGAGCTCCCCTTTAAGAATAAAAAGTTTATCAGTATGCATTCAACAAGAACATAACACACACGGAGGGTTTGAACACAATTTATTATAAGCTTAAATAATTAATTTGATCATCCAGTGTATGTTGTTTTTCTCATACATAATGTTCGTTACCAGATCTGTCATCCATGAATGCTTGAGTGATTTCTCAAAAATGCACCAAAAACCAAAGTAAAATTTCCCCCAAAACCACAGCAGCCTGGAAAAAAGTAGTAATACACTGCTAGAATGATTACAAACGACAGGCTGACAGAAAGACTTCTACATCTTAGAGCCGGTACACATGAGAACAGGTAAAAGTGCATCACGCCGTTTGATTTCGGTGAGCATTTCAGACTGCATAGGGAAACCGCCGCCGTCATGTGATGGGACACAGTGTATTTTAGTGAAGCTGATGTGTGATTCTGTCGTCTTTCTAAAAATAAATCAAATAAAAAATAGTGTGCATTTGCAAGGCTGTAAAGCGTACACATACAGAACATCACTTCCCCTTCTCTTGTGTGTTAGAAAACAAACAAAACTCAAAAATAAAGTGAATCACATGCATGAAAATATTAGTACTCTGAAGAAAACTACAGCTGCTCCAATGTTCGTACCACTAAGAGACCGCAGTAGGTTTAAAAGAATTATCAGTTGTTAAAATCAAGCTTTTTTTGTTTTTTCATTTACAAACATTTGTTTTTTTCCCGCTAATAATTATACAAGTGCATGTGAAGCGTTCCCTTAAAATTGGAATCAGAATTGGTAGTTCATTCCTACACACTTGCCAGTGCATTAACAATGTCGTGAGCCACTTTCAAATTTATACAGTGTCATTTATGTACATCGTAAGCTCCAACAGCATTATACAACCCCAACATTATTGGATCAAGAGGGAAAAAAAAATAGTAAGGCGAGTGTAGAAGGTGATTCAAACGAGTCCATCCATTCCTGTCAATCAGCAATATGTTTAAGTGGCCTCTTTGGTCAAAGGAAGTGCTTGGGCGCTCGTATTGTACAACGCTGCACCAACAATGTCCCCTCTTGACCGTTAGCCATTCCGTGTTATTGACAGAAACAAGTTTTTTTTTCATGCTCATGCGAAATCAAAAACCGTCAGACCCGAAACCATTTGTTTTTATGAAAGCTGCTGACACACAATCCTCATCCCCCGACCTCCTGCACGTTTCCAGTGATCTTCCTCGAAAGGAAAATGGTTTTGTAGCACTTTTAAATCTGAAACACAATGACATACAGCGATATATCAACTCGATGAACATCATAGTTTAGCTTTTCTTTTTACAGTATTGGTCACCTTTTTTTCTCAGAAAACATATTTCTAAAGGTGCTGTTGATTTGAAATCTATATGTAAAGAAAACAAATCTAATTAGTTTACAAATGAAGTTATGCGTAATGAGATGACGCAGGGTAAAGTACTGGACACATGAAGAAAGGGAGCTGTAGAAAGACAGTGAAAGCCCAGACAGCAGCTGAAATCTCTCAGTAGTTATTCTGCAATTCTCTGCCTTTCGTTATTGTAAATGAATGTCAGCTGCTTCAGTCCAACATCTAAATTAGCAGGAGGATGAAGATGAAACCAGAGTGGACATTTCAGCAAGACAATGATCCAAAACACAGCCAAGGAAACTCTCAAATGCTTTCAGAAAAAGAAAATCAAGCTGTAGAATGGGCCAGCCAATCACCTGAAGCGAATCCAATAGAAAATAAAAAATAAAGATCAGATTTTAGATGAGACTAATGGTGTAGTCCTAAAAAAAAGGTGGTGTACTATTATACCCAACTCAAATTTTAAATGAAAGTAGGCAAAGAAAGGACAAAAGTCAATGTTTCTTTGATTCATTAGCTATATATATATATATAT